ATGGACTCTTGGTGTGAAGCTGGTTCGTGGCGCCTACCTCGGATCTGACCCCCGCCACCTTCTCCACGACACCAAGGCAGACACTGATGCCTGCTTCGATGCCATCGCCGAGAGTGTTCTGACCCGCGAGTGGACCAACGCCGTCAAGGGTGAGGGTGCTTACCCCAACACAGCTATGGTCCTTGCCACCCACAACGCCGATTCCGTCCGCCGCGCCCGCGCAATCGCTGATGCCGGTCTCGCCAAGGCGTACATCTCCTGCGCCCAGCTCCAGGGCATGGCCGATGAGGTCAGCTGCGAGATTGTCGATTCCAAGTCCCCGACTGGCTCCGTTGGTGCTTCTGTCCAGCTCCCAGTCTACAAGTACCTCGTGTGGGGTTCCATTGGCGAGTGCATGAAGTACCTTCTTCGACGTGCTCAGGAGAACAAGGACGCTGTTCAGCGAACAAGGAGCACCCGCGATGCCATGTTTGGCGAGCTTGTCCGTAGATGCAAGGCCGTTGTTGGTCTTGTGTAATAAAGCACCAAAAAAAAACTAATTAACACAAAACAAGGCAAAGCCCCAAGGTGGTCAAAGAGCCACTAAAACGAGACATGGGGAGAATGGGAGTTTAAATCATGGTTGGCTGGAAGACCTGGCCTGGTCATGGGTATTGCTTGAAAGCGACTGGAGTTTAGGGACGATGATTAGATTGGAATTTTACGAGCATGAAGATTTGCGATGGATGAAGGAATGACTTACGGCATGGCCTGGACCTTTTTTCTCACACCCTGCGGGGGTTGACATAGAGTAACTTAGAAGAATGTGAAGATTGTCATTCCAATGTTCTTTCTTTCTGCTTTTGATTTCTCTCTCGGTGCTCGTATTTTCTGTTTTTCAAATACCCCGTACAGCTAATGTGCCCACCACGAGAGTTTCCACCTCTTTGCGCTTCTGCGACTGGTCTTTAATGGCGTCGAGCCAGCTGAGCCCGTTCAGCTTGTAGTACTTGGCCACCTTGGAGTTGTCGGTGGCCGGGGCGATGTTCTCGTCGGTGACGGGGAGCTGGTCGCCCTCGACGTGCTCGCTCAGGTGCTTTGCGATGTCGTCGTGGGAGGGGCCGTTAGGGCCGCTGACCTTAACAACAAGGAGGTCTTTGGTCGATGGAGATATTCCGTACCGGCGGTATGCCTCGGAGATCTGTGCCGTGGGGTTTGTCAGTCCTTGGACAATAGGAATGTAGGGCAAGGTGCATGGTTATGCTGATGGGGTCTCACGTTGTTTGAGGGGCTTAATGAGATGATGATCTCGGAGTGGACGTTGGGCGTGATCAGGGAGTTGGTTGATGCTGTGGTCGCAGCTCGGAAGACAGCGGAGAGGAGGTGAAGTCGGGAGACGATCTAAGGAGAGGTCAGGATCTAGGAGGAGATATATGGAGGCTAGCCCGATTTGTAGGAGACCGTACAATGGAGGCATCGACGAAGCCATATTCGAAATCAGGATTGCGGGCCAGGAGCTGGCTGTGTAGGAAGGCAGCGTTGCGCACGTTGCGGAAGTATGCGATGTGGACGGTTTGCGACGCAGGGAGATGGTCGAGGGTCACGGTTTCGAGAGCCATGGCGAGAGATGCGGGGCGGGTATTGTAGATCTGGGATTGAGTGTGTTTGGGCAACGGTAGGAGCTTGCTTCCTTTGATGTTGGTGATGCTTGAAAACTACGATCGCGGGGAAGCAACAATGGCGGGGACAGTGGCAATAAGCACGTGCGTGGATTTCACACTGTATTGCATGGCTCGCCAACCATCGAGGAAGGTATATTACGATTAATAAATCGGACTATTGATCGAAACGGGAATAACAGTATAACGACGTAATTTATTGCTTCTGATACCACCTTTACCCTGATCACGGAAACCCCGCCGGCAAGGCTCTCGTGTCATTTCGGAGTCGCCGGGGGGCTGAAGTATTTATTGCTGGTCCCTGCTCTTGCGATGCGCAAGACGATCGTCTGATTTCGTACAAAGGCGAGAGAAAAACACACCAGCCTATGGCAGATCATTCCCTATTACCTCTGCATGCAAAAATATCGCGCTTGGGCCAATGGTCTGGCTGGTCGGTAAGAGTCTTTAGTTGGACTCTTTCCCTCCACGGTTCTGCCCTCTTCTTGGCAGCAAAATTTCCACCATGACATTGCGCACCTTGGAGGTCTTCTCTCACCTTTGCCGCCACCCTAATCGCTTTGAGAGCGAGAGAAAAACCCTAGAGAGCAAATCCCTTGAGAGTGGATGGCGCCATCAGCCGTCTGAGCTTTTAGGGGTGTGCTGTTGGGGGCGGTGTTGGTCTGGATCTTGTCGCAGCCTCCCCTTCCGAGCCTTTTCCGACCTCTCTTTGGAACATCGTGGGTAATCTCCTCTCCCTCGACTGAGAAGAAATTGACTCGTCTCATTTGCGCCTCTCTCGAGAAAATTTTGAATCCTTGACGAATTTATTGAGGCTTGACGCTGTCATGATGGACCTTGCTCAACTTTTGACCTTAATATCAACCATTCAGCAGAGTCTTGGGGCAAGATTACCAAGAACTGCACTAGCAGATGATCGAAGCCTCAAGCCGAATACGCCTGACCGTCTAGAGTGTTGGATTTGAGGCGAAAATCCTTCTCTCACCTAACAAGCGGTGGTTTTGATATCTCCCCCCCTTTAGTAGCCCGAGACCGGAGAATTGGCTGCATTGCCGTGCATAAGCCATGCATGGAATGGACCTGTACAGCCCCTATGGTGTCTCTGACTGGTGTTCGAAGAGATAAGCAAGTAATCCATAGGTGACTTGGCTAACCCGCAAGACATCTTACAGCAAGAGCGTCGATGCCGGCTATGGTCTCCTTCTTGGGCGGTAGTCGGAGAGCAGATTCCTCATCACAACGACACCCTGACGTGGCCCTGTCTCAAGACTGAGGCAGCGAACACAGCCTGAGGTGCAAGATGATGGAGCCTACGTAGGTCTTGATCAGATGCGGAGTTTGGCGGGCTGACACGAGATCTGACGCGCGCCATGTCTTGGCCCGGCACAGCCAGCGCCTGATTCTCAAGGTCGAAGGGCACATGGCGCGTCGTTGAGGAAGCCACCTGCAGCCAAACTCGGACCAAGTCTTGCTGGCGAGCGCCTGCGAAGCGAAAGTGTGGTTGATTCGCTTGCCGAGTGCGATAGACGGCTGGATAGGTACATGTCAGTAGGCGCCGGCCGCTGAGACTTTTTGACGGCAAACCACCATCATTGTAAACCTCGGGGCCAGCGCCCGACATGTTTCGGCTCATCCTCAGCTCGCCATCCATGAGCCCATCATCTGAAACACTTTTGCATCTGATGACAACGGGAGTGGGCTTTGGACTTTTTCTGCGACCTTTCGTAACCCGAGCAGGTATAATAGGACAGTCGACGGCCGTTTCCCAGGGCTCTGTCGCATATCGCCGTGTCTCATCCTGGGTCCGTTCACGACAGCCCATTCCAGAATTGAGCTGACCAACTGCGAAGGAGGCCTTTTCAATATCAAATTGCCCCGAATTGCGTCGCCACCCCACCAGATCCGACAGATCCCAGCGAGATCCGATTCGCTGCGTGGCCACGGAGACTGACCCAGACCCTTCACCCAGGTAAGCCCAGTCCAGCCCAGCCCAGCCGAGCCCACCAACCCCAGGCCAGCACGGGCCCAAGACGGTCCAATACACACACACACAAATTGACAAGTGACAAGAGGCGCTGGGTCGGGCCCTTGGCCTAGCCTGGCCCCTCCACTACCGCTGTGACAGTTGTCGTTGGTGCCCACCTGCTAACCAGACCCAGGCCAGTGCGCTGTACCTTACCCAAGCAGGTAGGTGTTGAGGAGCCACCGGCGCATCACACCACTGTCACCACCCAACGCTGCACTACGCTGCGCGCTACGGTGCGGTGAACCTTGCCTCGACTGCCAGACCCATCCGTTGCGTGCTGCTGTGTGCTGCAAGGTCCCCGCCGATCAATCCCTGTAACCCAAACCGTCGGTAGGCCTCTGCAGCAGTTCAGAGCACCCAGCGCAGTGCAGCTCCAGTGGGTCCCGCGGTTTCTGGGTGGAGGGACTCGGTAGTGGACTGCCCTGTCACTCTCGCCAATCCAATCCAGTCCGCGCATGGCTCGCTCGACCCCCGGTCTATGCCTAGGGGGGCACCCGGCACTGGCTACCGTCGCCAACTTCAATCTTCCCTCCGACTTTTGCGTCGATCCCCATCGCCTGGAGGACCACGACCGACACGCCTTCGTCGCCGATGCGCCGCAATTGACCTCCGACAGCTCACGCTCATGCACGCTGCCCGACCCAACCACAGGGCCTCCTCACCTGCCCGACCCTTCTCGCCAGACCCCGAGGCGCGCTGCGACCGTTAGAAATTCGCCCGAGAGAGGCCCGTGGGCGAGACGTGCAGAGCTGCAGAGCCAATATCGGCCATCGCACTGTCGGCCGCCTCATCGCATCAACCCCCAATCTCCCCCGTCTCCTGTTCCATCAGCATCCGGCTACTTCAATCAATCCCAATCCCTCGACAACAGCGTCGTCACACCGCAGCCACCAGTCTCTACCCTCCGAGGGCAGGCTGACCTCCTCGCTCCATCCCTGTCCAACTCCCCCTCGTCGCAGCCGGTACACATTCACACGCCGCCAGTTGGTGAAAATACAGACCCGACGCGAACCCTTGAACTTGCGCCTCCTCCAGATCGGTTGTTTATTCCAACGGCTGGCTTTGCCTGCTTTCCAAACAACCATCGTCTGGCCCCTCAGCTCGCTGCTCAGCCACCTGCCCAACTACCTGACCAGATCTCTCCTCGACTACCAGCCCAGATAACTGTCCAGCTACGTCCTCAGCAACCTTCCCAGCAAACTCCCCTGCAACCTGCTCGGATACCTGCTCAGCAATATATTCAGGCACCACCTCAGCCAAAAACACAGCCGCCACCAGAGCAACGGGCACGGCAACGGCGTGCCGTTCCCGCCACGATGCCCAGCCCTGCGAGCGGGAACGCGGGTAACGTGAAGCGTCCTGCTGTAGAGGGTGATGACGAGAATGATAGGTCAAAGGGCCCAATCAAGACCACCACAGCCCCCTCAGCCTCTGGGCCGAAGAAACAGGCACGCGGAGATCGAGGCCAGGAGGACTACTCAGCTAAGGTCAAGACCAGGATGTCGACATATACACGTACTGGCCAGGCGTGCGACAGATGCAAGGTATGAATATCCCCCTCATCACGTAAAATTTCCCGAGCTGCAATCCAAGGCAAGGCAATGTTGCTTTTACTTGCGTCTTAGCTTGACACGCCTGGACTCTAGATCGACGATATCGATAGATTACTGACTATATATGGCGCTTAGGTCCGAAAGATACGCTGCGATGCACTTCCAGACGGCTGCTCCTCGTGCAGCTCGCAGGCCATCAAATGCTTTGTAACCGACCGTGTCTCCGGCCGTACCGAACGGCGAGGTTATCTTAGGGATCTAGAAAGAGAAAACGACAGCTTGCTGTCTCACATTCGCGAACTAGAGCAGTTGGTTGCCGAAAAGGGCGTTCAGGTCTGGCCGTTCGCTGCCACCGTGCAATCGGAGACGGGCCCAGCACCGGATGGGGCAGATCAGCCTATTACTAACCCTATGAAGGTTTCGGTTCCGCTTGAAGATGGGTGGGATAAGCTTGGATCGCTGTGGGTGAAGCCTTCCGACTCGAAGGATGCTCCTTTGAAGCCTTTGTTGGTCCCAAATTTTCCTCGCAGCCGTCTTGAGTCACGCCCCGAGGAGACGTGGCTGGGTGTGGGATGGGATAGTCGACCGCTTAGTTCTATTAACGGAACCAAGTTGACGATTATGGGAACAACTATTGACACTGCGTCTTTTGACGCCCCTGACATGGACGAGCCTCCTTCAGATTCGAACCACACTACACCACTCTACAACAAGTCTGTACAAGCATTTCTGCAGTCAGCTTCAGGTCTCAACCCTCCAGTCGAAATCAGCCTCCCCCCAAGAGAAGAGGCTTTCACCTATACCCAGTACTATTTCATGTTCATGGCGTCATATATCCCTATTTTGCACAAACCCACCTTTATGAGACTGGTACGTCGTTTTCTATTCCATCCCTTGCTCAGAACACGCCCCCATACCCATTGTCTCGGATGTTGCTGACAACTTCTTATCTAGCTCGAGCGGGTTTATGACGAACCTGATTTCAAACCCACAACCGCCGAGCTGGTGCAAGTCCACATGGTATTTGCCATCATCTTTTATCAGTACGGCGTGCGGAACTGGCAAGAAGCTGAACAGAGCGCGCATCTTAATGCCACGTCAAACAAGCATTACCACTTTGCTATTAGCAAGTTTTATGAGCTGTATGCCTCCCGCGACGTCGCTGCCCTCCAGGCCATGACTTTGCTTGCGGCTCATACGCGTTCTTTCCCGAAGCCGGGATGTGGTTTGTTGATTACCAATCTGGCTTTCCAGCGAGCCATTGATCTGGACTACCATCGGAATCCCAAAATTCCGGAGACGGGGACGAACTTGGGAATTGAACTACGGAAGCGTATCTGGTGGGTCTTGATCACCATCTACGTTGCTGTGACTGGACGACGAGGCCGGCCCATGCCCATCACTGTGGAAGAGTTCGATACAGGGTTTCCCGAGCCCCTGAATGATGAGCAACTTACAGAAACTGGTGTCGATAGGACGCAGTCCACGCCATGCAACTGGCAGGTTGGCCTGGCTACATTCAAGCTGATTCCAATCATGATGGAGATGTACTCCAACATCTACAGCGTCCGGAGGGATACCCAAAACTATGGCACGATCGTGACTGCGTTGGAGAAGGAGCTAGACAAGTGGGAGAGCGAACTGCCTGCGGATTTACGCCTGGACCTGGAACAAGCTCCGCAACAACATAACTTGGGTGCATTGTACTTGAAGGGCTACTGCCTAGAGGTGCGGCTCTCCCTGCGACATACATCTACGAGCCCTATCACAGACCAGGAGACAATGGCTCAGAACACCAAAATCTGCGAAGAAACAGCCAGAGAGTTACTACGAACGGTAAAATATGTTTCGGAGCTCAAATCCCTCGACACGACGTGGACACAAATGTCGATCTACACGATGGCTGCTTTTTCACTGCTCGTCTCATACTGGACTCGGCGTAAGGAGACGACCCCGGATGAGATCGCGACCCTTCGTCAAGAGATGGAAGACTGGATGGGGGTGCTCCGTGAGCTGAGCCAACTGATGGGATCTGGCCCAGGCATACTAAATCAGATCGGCAGCATCATAGAGCGAACAATTATCTGGATCGAGAATGAGACGGCACGTCCGCCGCCGCCACCTGCCATCAAGCAGGAGCCGGTTCATCACGGCGCTCTGGCTTCACAGCAGATTCAAAATCAAGGCACCCTTAACCAGAGCCATAGTGCGCCAGCTGTTCGACTCAAGGCAGATCAGGTACCCACGGACGCTTCCGTTGGCCACGTTCAAGCCCACGGCCCTGTTGAAGCTGGGCCAGCAACGACACCCGCAAATGCTCACGCACCACAGCAGGTTCATCATCAACATCAGCATCAACATCAGCAGCAGCACCAGCACCCGCTTCAACCTCGAGCCTCCCCGCATCAAATCGCTCAACAACAACAGGTGCACCCTGAGCGTGCAGGCGAGAAGCATTTCTACCATGACCATACCCAAGAAATGAACGGGCCCCCTTCATATCCCATTACCTACACAAATCATTCTCCCCATGATGGCGCTCTCACGGCACAGCCCTACGAACATGAGACGGCCATGTACTACTCAGCGGCTTCACAGCACGCAGCACCATCCTCCGTTGTATCAGTACCCCCCGGCGCCGAGTCCAACCCTCTCATTGCGTTTGCATCTCAAGCCGCGCAGCATGTTAATACCACCGAACAATTAATCTGGCAGCGAGCTGGCGGAAATGCTTGGCAAGACTGGACAGCAGCTATCGCAGACAGCGATGATCGGTATGGAGCTGGTGCTCTGCTCACCCTCGGAAATACAGGTGCCGTATCAGGTTCTGGGCATCGAGGTTCGATTGCATCTATGTCTAGCGCCCAGCATAACCCGCAGGACATCGCAGTTCAGTGGCCGATGGTGATCAACACGATGGTTGATCCCCAGAATCCCCATATGCATTTGCAGCAGCAACAGCACCACCCCCATCATACTCAGCATCCCCACCATCAACAACATGTGCATCAGTAGCCCTCAAATGGATCATGTCAAATCGCCTATGTTTTGCGTATTATCATGCATTATTTTCGGGATATGATTGAATGGCTCGATTTTTGTTATCTTGCCTGGAATGATTAACGAGGGGCAATCCCGATTATCCGTCCCTCGATGATACCAATTTAGACGTACTGCTGCTTTCGACTAGGGTTGCCTCACTCCAGATGAGATAGAAGGCTCATGGATGGACGATACCCCTTTGACGGCAACCTAGAAGTAATGGATTGTTTCTTCATAGAAGATACCTAGACCAGCGACAGAGAGTAATACATGGATTGGCCTCAATCCCACGAAGCTGTCTTTGACTTCTGTTGAGCATGTGCTCTTTTCTCTCTCTGTGATACCTCTTCCCGACAAGCCAACTATCATTGATGTTCACAGGCCACGTACGCCCTAGCTGTCTTCGGGCCACATCGCTGGTTGTGACAAGGTCATCTGCATCAGCGATATGTCCGCTTCCTGTCATTACTGCATCACTCCACTGTTGTTAGTATTATCTTGCTGTGGCCACAGGCGCATTTGGTTGTGATGGATTGGTTTAACTCGCGACCGGGCTCGTCCAGTCGCTCCCAAGCCGCTAGCAGGGCTTGAGGTGATAAGGAGGTACTACACCTTCTACATGCTTCTCTCCACATCATTCGTTCTCTTCACTATTTTATTATTTTGTTACTGGAGTCTGTCATGTTCTGGAGTCAGGACTGGAAGTCACAACAGTGATGCTACATCGTTTGCTTACCTACGTACGTTCATTTGCTTCTCGGGCGGTTGATCTCTCTTTTGTTGAAAAAGTTGGAAATTCCATGTCGTTTTGGGAGTTTAGATTCTTTCCAGGCCTTGGCTTATTGAGGATTTACGAATAAGCAGAACTCACACTGCTGGCGCAAGAAATAGACAAGATAATCATGACTCTTGGGAATGGGGACGGCGGTGATATGTGGTCGGGATCTACAGAACGGCTTAATCCTAACAAGATACGTTTTTGGAGCTATTTATGATTCTTCTGTAGTTACCTAGGTAGACGAAACGCGGAACGCAAGATCTAATCACACGTCTTCTTTTGTTGGGTTTGTGCAGAGCGTAAATGTAGTAAGCGTGCTGTAAAACTTGGTGAGGAGGCAGCTTTCACCGAGTTCTTCTCGGTGAGGTAGACCGATGTTTAGCCGCTAGAGCACGCGACGGATGATTCGATCCACACCGAGAGTGTAGGTTAGGCTGTGGAGAGCAAACCTGGATAGCTCCATGCTGCAGCATCCACCCGACGTTACCTGGCGCGTCTTGACCTTGACATTTCAGCTCGCCTTGCTCAATTCTACGGCTGCCAAACGTAGACGAGCGCAGAACACGACGAGAAGGCACGGTTCTAGCCTGCGACTCATTCGATTTCCATCCCTCAAGGGCGTGCGGGACGTCAACTCGATCGACAATGGGCAAAAAGAAGCGTGGCGGTCACCCCGACATCGAGGAGATCCTCGGCCGGCCGTGGTGCTATTACTGTACGTGCAGCCTTTGACCGCTGGTTAATTTCCTTGAGGGATGCTTGGATCCTGGGCTAACATGTCGTTTTTTGATGATAGGCGAACGTGATTTCGAAGATCTGAAGCTGCTCATCTCCCATCAGAAGGCGAAGCACTTTAAATGCGACCGATGTGGTCGTCGACTGAATACAGCTGGAGGTACGTTTGGCATTGTGGCGCGCAGAATTTGTCTCTTTTGCATAATTATCACTCTCTTCTTTGTTTCAAGCTCCTGGCGATGAGCGGTTCGCTTCTCTTTTCGATGCTTGGAGTCACCGCTGACAAGGCATGATTTTCCTCTAGGTCTCTCCGTCCACTTGAACCAGGTCCACAAAGAAACCCTCGAGCAGGTTGAGAATGCGCTCCCCAACCGCCAGGGCCTCGATGTGGAGATCTTCGGCATGGAGGGTGTGCCCGCCGACGTGCTCGAGAGCCACCGTAGCCGACTGATCCAGAACTTCTACCAGGCCCAGGAGGACAGGCGGCTGGCGACGGGCAACCCCCTCCCGGGACAGACGCAGAGCACGAGGAAGAAGATCACGATCGAGACGGCCGAGGAGCTCAAGGCTCGGTTGGCGGAGTGGAGGGAGAAGAGGAAGAATGGGGGTGCTATGGAGGATGTTACTGCAACGACGGTGAGTTTTTACGTTGTTGGTTACGAAGATGTCTCTTGTTGGGGACAAAGAGATGACTGGGTTACTAATGCGTTTGGTGATTTGTAGACTGCCTCCCACCCGGGCTTCTCTCAACAGCCGTTTGGTGACAACATCCCATCGCGACCACCTCCCGGCGTGCCGTTCGGGCTGCCTCAGCGACCGGGCGACGGCGTGGCTCCCCAGGCGGACGATATTGATAATCTGATCCGGATGGCGGAGGCGCGTGCGGCGGCTGATGCTGGAGATGCTGCAGCCAAGGCGTCGAAGAAGGACAAGGAGAAGAAGGGCAGGATGATCTACGACGACGCGGATACAAGTCCGGAGGAGAGGATCGCTGCGCTGCCGCGGTATGCGTATGCAGCGGCGGCATAAGCTCTTGATGGAAAGGCAGAAAAGAGCAGTGCGAGATGCTGATGTCATTTCAGATTGGGACAAGAAGGTGGAGGGAGAGTATTCATGGGATCGACTCGTCTCCATGCTGCGCTCTTTTGCTGGCCGAGATGGAGATCCGAGAAGAAGATGGATAATGGCGTTCTTGGGTGCTTTGTACATGTAGATTTGGGCAGTAATCTTGAAGCTGTTCCTCGGTTCTTGCGACACTTTGGAGATGACCTGTATGAGCAGGATAAGTGGACGGTCATCGCCAAACCGATGCGCCGCGCAGACTTGCACAAGTAATCTATGCCTACCTACCTACACTATAGTATCCCTACCGCGCGATCGTCGCAATCTGACTTGGCGACAACGAGGATGTCCACCCACCATGATTTCCAGAACCTTGTGGAACAACGGGCTTTCGTGGGGTGATCGCTCGATGAATGGAGGCGCCAATTACATACTAGTCTAGGTCAAGGCAACCCAAAGCCTGCCCTGAGCTAAGGCCAATGATCGAAAGCGAGCCGGGCGAGTTGCGGAAGTGTGGCGGAGCCGAGTCATGGGTCATGATGCTACCACTCTCTGTGCGTGGCCTCGCGGCTGTGATTGGCAAAGGCCGCGGAGCAGCAAGTGGGAGGCGATAATGGCCACTAGACCGATGACGGCAGCGAAGGTTGAGCTGGTCTGATGGATAAATAATAGAGTGTCCATCCGCATTTGACCTCGTTCCTCTAGGCACTACTAGTCTATCCCTCTCCTACTGACTCGGGACATCATATCCAGCTCTCGACACTTTGCCATTTCCAACCCTGAGCTCTGCCTGCGCATCTTGTCGCACGCCCAGAGACGACACGAGACGACTCAGTCGACGCACATCAATCAGTCACCTGCAGATGCAGAACCTCCCCGGTGGAGGCCGACCACCCCCTGTTCCCCCGGGATGGGTCGCCGAGTGGAACGGCCAGTACCGCGCATGGTAAGACAGCCCTTGACGCTCTTGATTTTCTTGGCTTCTTGTCTCTTGTCCCTTGTCTCTTGTCTGCTATCCACGATGGAAGATATATTAATTAACCCTCCCGTCCACCAGGTACTATGTCAACCTCAGCACAAACGTCTCGCAATGGGAGGCTCCCAACCCAGCCTCTTCCCCGCCCCCACCAGGCCCTCCCCCTCACCTGAGTGGTGATGCCGCCCTCGCCGCCAAGCTGCAAGCCGAAGAGGACGCCCGCGCCCACAGATACAGCCAGCCGCCGCCATCGCAGCAGGGACATGGCATGCCGCCGCCTTACTCGCCATCCCCGAACTCGCAGGGCCACGGCGGCGGATACCAGGCCCCGCAGCAGCAGCAGTACGCCGGCAGCGGATATCTGCAGCCGGGGCAGTATGGCCATCAGCAGTCGCACAGCCCGAGCCCGGGGATGAGTCCGAACCCATATGGCCAGCACAGTCCCAGTCCCGGTCCTGGAGTCAGCCCGGGGCCGTATGGGCAGCAGCATGATCCGCGACAGCAGGGCTATAACCAGCCGGGGTACTTCCCTGGCCAGCAGCCACCTCCCAATGGGGCGTACGGCCAGTATCCCCAGTCTCCCGGTAACTACGGGCAGCAGCAGCCCCAGGGTTCAGGTAGCAGTAAGGCCAGCGGTGGCGGCCTGCTGGGGAAGCTGATGGGCAAGACCAAGATCCCCGGCGGGGCGTCGGGCTCTGGCAAGCCTCCCAAGAACAAGAAGAATAAATGGGCAGTGCCAGCTGCGCTAGCTGGAGGAGCAGGTGCTGGTGTGCTTGGAGGAGTGGCTATGTCTGCCATCGGCCACAGTGTGATGGGTGGCCATCACGGCGGAGGGCACTATGGCGGCGGCGGAGGTTACTATGGTGGTGGCGGCGGAGGGTATTATGGAGGAGGGCACGGTGGCGGTGGTTCCAGCTCGAGCAGCAGCAGCAGCAACGGTGGCGGTAGTGATTATGGTGGTGGTGATGATTGGGGTGATGGTGGAGGTGATTTTGGCGGCGGCGATTTTGACTTTTGATCATGTCTGTCATGGTTTATGTTTTTACGTATTGGTGTTATCATGTTTAGAGGCTGCGCTCTCACGAGTAGATGATTATGGATTACTTTCAGACCTAGCCGTGATCTTTGAGAGAAAGATCACTTTGTAGCATCTTCCCATACCCAACGCTCATACTCACATTGCGCCTCGAACCCCAGCTTCTCGTAGAACCCCCGGAGCAAGGTCATGTCAATGAGGATGCCCTCGACGCCTCTCTCCTTCAAATTCTCCATTGCTCTCGCGACCAACCCCAAACCTACACCCTTACCCCTGACGCTAGGGTCAACGCCCACCGCAGCAATCAATCCTGTCTTCTCCTTGGTGGGGAGTAGAGGCAGGAAGGCGTACATGTCACTCATGATGGCGTTGGGGGAGCACATGAACGTCCACCCGACTTGTGCGTTTGTGTCGGGGTCGATGGCGACCATGACTTCAGAGTGCTGGCCGTACTGGGCGAGAATTTCATAGCCCTTCCACCAGTTCTGCGGTCAAATTAGCGTTCCCGTCCACAAGTTGTAGTTTAAGAGCTAGGTGAGAGACGAACAAAGTTGGCCCGTTGCTTTTCTAAACACTCTTCGTATAGTTCCGGTGACCAAGGGCGATATTCGATGTTTGTCTTGGCAACTCGCTCCAAGACGTCTGCGGGCACCACATCATTGCGGATGTCTTTGAACAGGTCACGGCATCCCAAATCGGGGGACTTTTTGAAACCTAAATCGATGTCAGAAAGGGGGGCTTGGGTGTTGTCGTACATGAGTTTTTCACATACCGCAGTGCAGAAAGAAGTCCTTCACTTCTTGAGGGGCGTTCACGGGCATCTGTGGCCAGAATCGAGGCGCAAAAGACCCAACTTCAAAAGACTGAAGCTCCTTCTCGCCAGAATCTTTAGCTGCCTTCTTCAGGGCCTCGTGAGCTCTGTGTACAAGAGCCGTCCCGAGGCCTTTGCGACGATGGTCGGGCAGTACCCCGACCGCAGCTATCGTACCGAGCACCCCATCCTGGAGGAAAGAGAGGCAGAATCCGTGCTCGTGGATGAGATAGTTACCGGGCATTTGGCGGACTATCTTTTCGAGTCGTTGACGCTCAATTGGCCAATCTGGGAAGATGGCCTGCCACATTTGCCATAGGCTCTCGAATTCTTGATCAGACTCGTCGAGCTCTCGGATCTGAGCATCGATGAGCGATTGCTCTTTGTTCTGCGTCTCTGCCATTGTGTACGGTGGAAGTTTGGGTTTGAATTGGCTTCGTGGCTTATTGGTATAGTCAATTATGAACGCTCAGAGTTTTGGGAGTTCCTGGCCAGCACCATTGCGAGCGGACCATGGTTTTATATAAGTTCATTGGCTCTTACACGACGCGGGGACGACGTGGTTGTGGGGCTGGGTTCCGATGAGACCACTGGCTACTGTACCCTTGGAGGTCCACTGTAAGGATCGAATCTGTAAGGCGATGACCGATCTCCCGAGGAATCCGAAGAGAAGTTCATTCATTATTACTGATGTTAACCCTATTATTGGACCGTGATATTCTTCCCCTCTCGGTGTTTGATGGAAAGGTATAGGGTCTTTGGACTAGTTGCTTGGCTGAGAAACATTGATTCTCACGTCATTTTAGTTTCAGTACTTCCGTTTCCAAAGAATAAACTCTCCAAACTGGTAGAATATCGATTTCTAAAGGCACGGTATTTTGGTGGATCGTGGGCTGGGATGAACCTCGTTCTGATTTCTTTGTTAGGTTCTTGAACGTGGAAATATTATTACTCTTTACATCTATCCTAATCAACCTTCTTTCTGATCATATTTGTAACCACGAATTAATTTTTCACCCTATAAATATAAGTAACAGAGCGCCGTCAGCTCGGATCTATAGGTTCAAGATAGTCCCAGTGATTCTAACAATTACAATCAACTTTGTAAGCCCAAGATCCTATTGTGCCAACTGCTGGACTGAGTTGTCAATATACACGCTTCTAGTTAGCAGGCTTGGTGGGGTTGATGAGACTTGAGGGTATAAAAGTGATATGCTTCAGCGCCGAGGATTGTGGAACCGATTATTCGGTCCTAAATTATATCGGTCAACTTAGAACATGACGCATTTAGACCCTTAACCTGAAATCTGTTGATGAGTGGGCTCTACAAGCAGATAATGGCGGAAACGTAGTCAAAATCGATAGAGCGTTAAGAAACTCTAGTCTATCAGAAATCATACAAGGCACGTTTTGGGAGTTTGGAATCACTCAATGGATGATTCAATAAGTACCTAGATGTTTTCTGGAGCTTTAGAACACGCCACGTCGGTTGAGTTACGAGAAAGTGAATTTTATTCCTTCTAAGCAATGTGTTCACAGTGGGAAGAATACGATGATGGACATTCTCGTGGCTAGTAGAGTTTCTCGGCAATTATTGACGAAAGATCAGCTCGGCCCTATTCTCTCCCAGGGGGTCTCCGTGACTTCCCCTGACACATACCTTTCAGCAATCCTACCCATTTGCTGAGACCCAACCAGGCCAGCCTCACCGCCGTGCAGCGATGATATTCTGACCGTGCACCTCTTCAGCTTGACCCTTGCGGCAAGTTTCCCACGGAGAATGTCAAGAATACCACCCCAAGAGCCACCGGTTATCTCGATTTCTTCCATGAAAAGACGGATAACCCCATCCCCTAGATTCTGACAAAAGAGTCGAAGCTCCACTTCCGAAGTTGCAAGATAGTCAATGGAGACCTTGCGTATGCGAGGCCATGGGGAAGTGAATATCCTGGATTGAATTCGGTGCATTTGCCACTGCGGAGTCCAACCATGTCCCGGAGTTGGAGGGAGCCGCCTGCAGGTCGTTAGAAAGGCCAAGTTGACATCTACGTCAACGAGGCGGGTGCTCGACAACATCGCCCGCAAGTAGCTTTCAACGGTGTGTATATCCGTCTCTTTAACACCCCTGGCCGATAAACTTTCCCAAGAGAGCAATTTAAATGTTTCCAAGTTTCCGCAAAAGGAAGAAAGGTTGTTCCAATCGACCTGCGGCCCAAGGCGCGGCCGATACCTCCGTGGATCAAGAGGTGCGAAAGAACGTACGTGACTCATGTCTTGGAGGGCAAAGTGGGTGACCAGAGCTCCCGCCTTCTCCAATGCAATAGGTAGCTCGCAGATGAACTTGGCCGACTCGAATTCCATGTCCCTGTCAAAGTGGCAGCTGTGCGCTTTGCCTAAGTAACCCGTTAGGAAGTCTGGGTTTACGAATATGTCCGGTATTCGCTTCGTTTTAGGCGCACCCTGTATACCATTTGATTTGGCATACGGGAGCCTAAAGGCGTCGTTGAAAAAGAGGTTTAAGGCAATAGGCCTTTGGAGACTGGCGAGGAGCGACGCGAGAGCGCTTGTGAATACACCGCTCCTCAACAGACCAGCCTGCTCATCGTGCAAGTCTCTATAGGCTTGGAACCCTCTGCGAATTACCTTGTCATACCTGTGTGGGCTTCCGAATCGCATTCCTGTCCTCCGACCACAGTTACGAGTGTCAGTTTCTCGGTACATGGTCACGGCCTCATGTATCGTCTCGAAGCCGTTTCGCGCCGACACCATCCGGTGATCACGTTCACCAAATACTAGACAACAGTATTGATACAGATCTCTAACCTCCTTTAGGACCATCAGAAGGAACCGAGATTCGTCCATGGCAAGCTCGGATGGGCAATAGCTCAGCCCTAGCCTGACGCCTCTCACTCCAGGGCGGATCAGGGGATTGCGGATCATCTTCCGCGCCCGATCTATGGATTGCCAGTCGATGCTCAAGTGGAGAATCGGGCAGAGCAGAGGCGATGCGAGCTTGTTGAAGGCACGGCATACGAGCCGTGCACTGCGGATGGTTTCAAGACGGAGCTCTCTGTCTTGAGCCTCGCGCTGCTCTCGTCCCAAGTCCACCAAGCCGGACATGGACCGATGTCGAAAGTTATCGAACATGTACGCCAGGACGTCCATTGGCAGATCAAGAATGTGCAGTGCTCGTATCTTGCCTCGCTGGAGCTGGACCTCTCTTCTTCTGAGAAACTCTTCATGTCGAGAGCACCACCCCCTCACAGCGAGGCACTGAGCCATGAGAATACGGTTGTCGGGACGATAGTCTGCCGGGTGTTTCGGGGCACCAGGTTTAGTGACCACCATGCCGAAGTCCTTGGCGAACTTGTTCCAGTCAGCCTCAGGGTCCTCCTCGTCCACGCGCGTGTACCTTGCAAGCGCCTGCAGCAGGTAGGCGTGGACGGCAGCATCTTCTGCCTCAACGCTCAGGAACAACGGTTGGGGGTTTTTGCCGTCTATGAAGAAGCCGCCCCATCCGGTCCATGCTTGTCGAAGCCGAGAGTGATATGCGCAGATGATCTGGTCGAATAGGTCGACACGGCGCAGCTCCTCGTAGAGCTCATCGGGTTCCAGGGAGCCGGAGACGGGCCAGGATTCGCGAAAGATGAGGACAGAATTGATATTCATTTTTAAGTGACAGGACACGCCCAGGTCGTAGAGTGCTGAAGGCTTTATGATGGCTGGCACCTTGTCTTTGAAGTGCGGGGTTGTATTGAGAGACGGAAAGAAATGCGTTGTTGGAAATGTCAGATGATTTATTCAGGGCTACATTCAAACTGAAAAGGGAACAGCCACCAAGTGCAGGGAGAATCGGCCAAGGTTACATATTTGGGTAATGGTTGATGTGGCGTCCGCCACGTGGCACTAGATACAGGTGGCAGCACGTTGCAGAAAAGGGATCAATGAGCTCCAAAGATGAATATAATGTTGATTTGTACATGGCCACCACGCAGTACCAAGGGGAGAAAGACGGGATAGCAACCTAAAAATCGTGCGTAAGTCGCAAAGCTCACAAGGCACCAAGGCTGGGGGGGATATTCGGGTGTTTGTGGTATTACCAAATGGACCAGATGTCATGGACCTGCTATGTTGATTGCACTGGGGCATATTTGGGGCTGTAAGGTATTGAACAGGCAACACGCAATTTCCACTTTCAATGTAAATAGACTTGGTTCACTTAGGCAGCACGACAGCTGAGTATTTTGTCGCCATTTTCTTTTGGAGGTGAAGCTGTGTCAGAGGCTAATATTTAGAACAGCCTTGCTTGTGCCAATTTACATCTACTGTGCAGGGAAATTATCCTCTCTAATGGAATGACTTGAAAAATATATAAACATGCTTGCAGTCGACTTTGACACGTCATATACCGCATCAACAAGCCGCAGCAGGGAGCAAACTTTGCTTACGATCTCACCACAAACTGCAGTTGTCCTTGTCAAAGACTAGGTACTCATGAACACTTAATTGCTTTTCATTCACGAGCCGTAGATGATAAAATCGTACTTAATAGATGACTAAATATCTCGAGTAAATTACTTAAGATCTATCAAATAACTCTTTAATCTCCCCGGGAGAAACTAGAATAACAATAATACATTTCCCGAATGTCTCAAAAAGGATGCGTGACCAAGGCCTCCCATCCCGACTACCAAGATAGAAATCGGCGGAGGAGCTTAAAAGCTGAGGGTCTGGCCAGCAGTTCCGTAGACCTTGCTCTTGACGCTGCTCTTGCCGTAGTTGGTGTAGCTGTAGGGGATAGAGCTGCTGCTGAGAGTACCAGCGGAAGCGGTGTTGGTGCTCGAGCCCCAGGAGATGTCGCTGACGGTGGCGTAGCCGATGGAGGAGGAGTCGGCGGAGAAGAGGGCCTTGGTGGCGCAGGAGTCGAAGACAGTCGACTCAACGCGGACCTGAGCTCCCATGCGGGTGTTGATGGCAGAGTCAAGGACGGAGAGGTAGTAGTTGTTGTAGATGTGGACGGTTCCGAAGCGGATTGAGGGGCCGCGGGAGTTGATGTTGTACCAGTAGTTGTTGGCGTAGGTAACGCGAAGCTTACCCTTGTCCTCGGAGGAGTTGCTGTCGGAGTGTCCAACAAGCGAGGCCTTGTAGTGGTCGTGGAGGAAGGTATTGGAAACGGTGATGTAGTCGGAGGCGTGGGTGATGTCAAGGAGACCATCGTAGTAGTCCTTGCCGGAGCTCATGTCAGAGGAGAGATCGCAGTGGTCGACCCAGACGTTGGTGGAGGCCTGGATGCCGATGGCGTCGCCGTTGGCGGCCTTGACCTTTGAAATGGCCAGGTTTCGAACGATGACGTTGGAGACCTTGTTGATGTAAAGACCAACACCGACAAGCTTGGAGCCGGAAGCACCAATGATGGACTTGTTACCCTTGACCTTGACCTTGGTGCTTCCCGAGATGGTACCCTTGACGTAGATGTTAAGCTTGTCAGAGGACTCGGCAGCCTTGGTGAACTGAGCAAGGGTCGAGACGGTGGTGGTAGCTCCACCCTTTCCACCGGTAGTGCCTCCGTTCTGGGTGGCATAACCAATGTTGCAGGTTTCCGTGATGGAAGCACGCTTGGCGAGATCAACGGGGCTAGCACCATCGTCGTTGGTAGGTGTTGGGACAGCCGAAGCCAGACCCGCGAGAGCGAGACCGAAGATGTTGGAGAACTTCATTGTGAACGAATGGATGATGGAGTCTGTTGTAGTAAAAGAATGAAAGTTGAGGATTCCAGAGCCGGTCTAAGAATCTCAGAAAGACGCAAGAATTATCGCAGAGTGCAAGGGAATGTGAATGAGACTCCTTTCAGTGATAGGATACAGAAAAGAAGAAAGAACGATCAGTATCACGAGAACCTCGTCGTATTTAAGTAAAAGCTAAGCTCCCTTGTCCTCGGAAGACACGTACGGAGAACAAGCAATCGATGACTCCACAAGGCATTTGCCAAGCTGCCTTGGCCGGCAACTGAGAGCCGATGTGTTGCTGAACCCGACCATGCCATATCGTGTGTTCTTAGACCCAGTACTGACAATATCTGGTGACCATGTTACCTGAAACAAACCAGATTTCCTAAGACTGATTTGAATTTCAGTCCCGGACTCCCGTTACCATACTGAGATTGCTTGGACGGACTGGGCAGTACTACCGCGCGCCACGTACTACAGCCAAGCTTTTGTCTATCACCTGTCAAGGCTAATAAGGTTAATCCCTAGGCCTCGCTTGGTCTGTAACCCTTGTCCTTTTGGCTGACGTGGGTTTGAGTATCCTGCTACATGGGGCGCTGGGAAATTGAGACGATTCTACGAGGGCCGCGTCATCCTTCGGTTAGTGGACCGAGAAGCAACAGCAGCAACCAGGGATCCGAGATTTGAAGATGAAACAAAGACTGAATTAATATATCGACATTTAGGTATTAGGCTTATCTCTAGCGCCGCGATGCCAAATGCCAAGTCCAAGTAAGACTCGGCATGCACCTCAAGTGCCATGAAACCCGCTTACAATCGACAAGAAAGACTAACATGCAGCTGCCAGGAAGCGGTCAGGTTTCCTGTAATCTTATTCCAATGCCCCTTCATACGAATCATATGCGGTACAACACCGCTCGATGGGGTGATCCAGAGCCTGCATAGAGGTAGTTCGATATCTCGAGCAGGGCAGAGCAAAAGTATTCCCACCGATAACCGTGAATTGTTCTTGTGTTACGCAAACAGCTACCACCTCTCGGATGGTAAGATTGCTGCTGGGAAGAGCAGCGGAAGAATCGGTGCTTTGATGCGGATGAGGTGCCTCCGATGCAAATACGGAAGCCCCACTCCGGGCCGAGGACGAGATGACGACTCATTACCGCAACAAGAAGAAAGCCCCGGTAAGAAGAGGTCAAGGGACTGACGATCCGGGTAGAGCCGTGAATGTGACATTCGGCTATGGAGTAAATGGAGAGGGAGGGAAGCCTAAAAACTGGCTGGCAACTGGCCTGGCGAGAAAATCCCGTTTGTGAGCGAATCTAGACAGTTGGAAACCACTGCGGCACTGGTGGCCAATAATCATGATTCATGACTGGTAAGGTGGGTGCTTTGGACCAACTTATAAGTAGGAAAATACTGTTGCAAAATGAAAGTGATATGCTAAAACCAATGTGATTTACCTTGACATCAGTGTTAACAAGAGAATTAGTGCAGGTAGGTGTTGTACATTGCTTATTGAGGAAAAGGGGTCGAGCCAACCACTGGATGCATGCCCTCCAGTGTGAAAGATGTTATCCAACCCCGTGTCGCATAACTGTATTTATGTATCGATGAGTTCTCATTCGAACGAGGGCAATGTTATGGCCGACTCCGAGGATCAATGTTTGGCTGCTATGACTTAGTCGCCCATAAAACACTCGTCGTTCTCAAGTGACTCGCAATCCGACAATGAGCAAAACATAACTTAATTAGATGCTGTGATCTTGCTATAACTTTTTAAGCTCACTAGCCTATAAAACTGTTATCCTAAAGCAACCTCAGGCTTATATTTAGGCTGAAAGCCCCTGATGATACATACTGACAGACGGAAACTTTGCTGCCACTGATTGATTTCCTAAACTACACCGGTACTGCCAGCTGCCTTTCCTCCCGCTACCGAGGTCTCAATAAATTGCGTTTCATCTCTCTTCTTGTCATCCACTGCGAGGTCAATAGTCTTTGCCTTGACATTATTATCTCCAAACGCGCTAGCAACCTCTTCAAGAGTCAACTGATTCGTATCTGAGAGCCACATCCAATTGATGAATCCTGCTATAAGGTTCAAGGCAATGAAAATGAAGTAAAACTTTCACCCTAGCGCCCCAAAAGCTAATGGGGTTATCTGAGATAGCCAGATGCTCGTGACAGACATAGAGAACATGGCGAAGGAGTTGCCGTTTCCACGGAGATGTTGGGGACATATTTCCGCAACAATCACCCAAACTGTGGCTGTTGAAGAAGACGGCATAGAATGCCGAGTAGAGAAAGATGAAAGCAATTCCAGCCGATACCGTCCCCGAAGAACAGGACTTAGAATAGCGCTAGAACGATAAATCACGTGTCTAGATATGATAGTCATTAGTACTGCAGGCCGATCAATTCAATGGCACAGAATCCGCTTCTACCTCTGGCTCGTTGAAACAGGACTTGCAGATATTGCGGCCACCCAAGCTCACTAGCGGATGAATATCAGTAGCTGCCGGCTCCGTCTTCCCGTTGTTCTGGCACATATCGAACGCACAATCAACAACATGAATCATCGGCTGCTGGCCGCGGAACACATTGTCGAGCGATACTGCGGCACAAGCACACCTGCCGGCGTCCGGAATTGGGCAGAGAGGCTGGCGAATCGTGGTTGTCGCGACGCTGGAGGCGAAATGTGCGCCGTTGATTCACCATCACCTGCGGGTGGCTGAAACGCGCAGATTGGCAATATGGGACAATGTGCGCTGGGTTACAGGGGATTTGAAGGAGCAGTCGAGGCGGTTCAGCAGTACAACAGTGAATGACCCCCCGCGCGTCTGCGGCGTTGAGGGACCAGCTGACCGTGAGCTTACGGCTTCGTCAGACACTGCTGGGAGGATTGTTTCTTGGGCTGATGCGAAGGGGGTTGCAGTTTAGCATTACTGTGTGGTATCACGAGCTATTCTTCAGATGCAGGCAAGGAATTGATTAAAAAATAAAAATAAAATGATTCATATCAATTGAAGGTCTTTGAAATAATGTGACCTGGGAAAGCAGCAGAAATCAGAACGCTAATGCAGATGAGAGTATAAACCTGGAACCCGACCGAAGACAAAAGAAAATGCAGTTTTTTAAAGACGTCGCTTTTTTACAGAGACGCCGTTTGTTTGAGGCAGTCTCGAGAGAGTGTTCATGTAGTTGAGGCGTTTACATGACGGTGCAGGATCGCTTGGCGATGTTCTCCTCTGCCTTCTCCTCGGCGCGCTCTTCGACGGTCTCGGCGTCTCTCTCCTCAACTTGCTCGGAGTCTCGCTCTTCGACCTGCTCCTCGCGCTCCTCGATCTGTTCATCACGCTCCTCAACCTGCTCCTCACGCTCTTCGATCTGTTCATCGCGCTCCTCGAGTTCCTCCTCGAAGTCACGCTCCTCAAGTTCTTCGTCGTAGTCGCGCTCCTCCAGCTCCTCATCGTAGTCGCGCTCCTCCATGTCGTCGAAGTAGAAGTCGCGCTCCTCAAGATCCTCGAGGTCACGCTCCTCCATATCATCAAAGTAAAAGTCACGCTCCTCGAGATCCTCAAGGTCACGCTCCTCAAAGTCGTCAAAGTCGCGAGCCTCGAGCTCCTCGACGTAGTCACGGGCCCAGTTCTCGGAAGACAGGACAGGGCTGCTCTGTCGGCTCTCGAGGTCGCGGAGGTGGACCATGGTGTCGACAATGGTGTCGATCTCACGCTCCTCGAGCCCATCACCGAAGACAGACTGGACCCAGCCGCGGGTGCTCATGGTGGGGTCGTCGTGCTCGACTCCGTTGCGGATCTCGAGGTCGCGCAGCTGGAAGAGGAGGTGGTCCAGGTCCGAGGCGAGCTCGCGGGCCTCGAGCATCTCGCCGTCGTCGCCACGGAGCATGAGCTCCTCGATGTCCACGGGGTTGGCCATGGTGCGCTCGGCGATGGAGAGCAGCAGAGCCGCGGAGACAGAGGCGCGCTTGATTCCGACCATTTTGAATGAATTATCTTGTTTGAAGGGGTGTAAAAGGAGAAGGTTGACCAGCAACAAATAATAAGAAATAAGAGAATGGTAATTAAAAGGGTTGAAAGAAAAGAAAAGAGACCAGCTCTGGAAAATGGTGATTGTTGTTGATGTTGGTGTTGAGAGTGATGTGAGGAAGGGAAGTTGTAGACTCCAGATGGCTTCAACTCTTTATATTCATCTCCAGGTCAGCTACCAAGTACAAGCGCCCAGGCGAGGCTGGCCGTGTTGCATCGCTTCGTCTGCCATCAGCACCCCTGTCAGCTGGGACTTTGGACATTGTTTTGGCTTTGCGAGGCCATTTTTAGGAGTGCGCTAGGTTGGTCCCCCGGCGTGGCCCCAGGACGACTAATTGCACGGCCAATTGCCATGAAAGCTACGGACATGGCCCTGGTGCAATGGCTAATGTAGCCTTCCGCTGGCTACCGCAACGACCAGGCCTCAGCCAGAGCTTCCGTGTGTTGCAGGATGCAATCCAGACCAACGGCCCACCTCAGCACCCAAATATAGAGCCAGAGTTGACACGGACCCCCAAAACCCAGTTAGTCAGCGTTATTTTGGTTTTATTGCAGATTGGCAGATTCGTTACCTGATGGAAGTAATTACCTGATGGATGTTTATAGTGTGCGTATTCGGATCGCCTGGATTGCCCCAACGGCAAGGACTACTCATGGCTAACCATGCGTCGTCATCTGAAGCAGTCCAAGATCGACTATTACAGTGATCAATATTCTTCCGCAACTCTCGTCATTGTACATGCCCCATCCCTGTCTAAGCTCGGTGCGTCACAGAGCAGGCAATAGCCGTCCAGCGCCAAACATACACGTCTGTACAATAGGTACCATCGGAATCCGTGATGCCATGATACTACCTCAAAGCTTTGCTAAAGACGAAGAGGTGGTCCGTGAACAAATCCGACATCTCACCAAAATTTGTGACATTTATTCACCCATTTTGGCGTCAATATTACTGTGGTGATTGATTTGTTGTTTTCAAGACGAGAAGCTCGGCTTTATTTCTGGCGTGGCGCGACACCAGCTTAGTAAGGCAGCTCTTTTTGTCTACCCTATACAACGCATTCATCTTCTCTCTTCCTCGGTCAATTGCTGTTCGTATACTCTCTAAATCTAATACTACCTATATCTAGGTTCAAGTTGAATTGTGCCTAAAATTAAATCCAGGCTCGGAGTTTGGAAAGTATGATTGGGTCTAGAACCGATTTTAGAACGGTACAAAATACAAATGAACTCGCCTGCGCCACACGAGGGCACCATCCGTATATCAAAAAACAATTGCCAAAATTCAACTTGAACAATTCATCACATAACTTCGCAACATCTGTTATAAATAGTAAATTAGAGATTTACACTACATGTCGGGGTGCTTCGAGCCTAAGAGCTGATCAATACCCTTTTCCTCGAGAATCTCCTCCAGTGTCTTGGTAGGCACCTTGTTCTTCAGATCCCTGGGCTCAATGACCTTGCCCTTGACGCCGCGCATGAAGCCGAACTCGCCGACAAAGGCCGGCCCGTCCAGCACCTCGTAGGGCAGCCCGGTGCGCTCATGCATTTCCTCCAGCGTCACCTGCACGACCTTGGCGCTGTGCCCCGTCAGTTTGTTCCATGTGTCGGCAGCCTCCTGCATCGTCGGGTAAGCGTCGTAGGCCAGCAGCTTCAGTCCCGGCTCCTCGTCCTCAATCAGGGCCCGCACGAAGGGACCCGTGGACTCCCGTTCACGGATCACGGGCATCCGGGTCTCGGCCGGGGCAGGTAGCATGAGGGCCCAGTCGCCCAGATGGGGGTACTTCTGGGGGAGAAGGAAAGCATTGGTGCTGTAGGCTCCAAGGTAGATGAAGGAGGTCTTGGCAGCGAGCTCGGGCGTTTCGGCCTCAATGTAGTCGACAGCCACGGCCTTGGAGTCCCAATGGCCTGAATGAGGATACTTCCCGTTTGAAGCAGCCTTCATGGGGCCCAGGGCCGAATAGATGAAGCGGCGCAGCGTGGGGATCGTGGCCGCAGCATCCGTGGCATTCTTGACGTGGGAGAACTCGACGTCGAAGCCGATGCGGGTGCTTTCCTCACGCGACTTGCCGGCCTGTACCGCAGCGCCGTACGGGGCCCAGAAGTCAGTGTTGACAAAGATGGCGTGGGCACCGGCAAAGGCGCGGACGAGCGACTCCTTGTCTGTGAGGTCGGCCTGGACCACCTCGGCACCCTTTGCTGCCAGATCGAGGGCAGCAGGTGAGGATGTGTTGCGGGTGAGACACCGGACATGCCAATTGGGAAGAGCCAGAAAGGCCTGAGCGACAGACGAGCCTTGGTTGCCGGTAGCGCCCACAATGGCGATGATGTTTGATGCAGACATCGTGGGGGTTTCACTGTTATGTGCCTGTTGAATGATCGGGGTTTGCTGAGGAGGGGGATGGTGATGCTATTGTGATTGACAGCGACATGTCTCGGAGACACGCCTTATTTATACAGGATATTTGATACATTGTTGCCCTGAAGATATTCATGGACTGAAGCCTCTCGAAGCTCCAATCTCCGGGCTTGGAATAATGGCTGACGGCTGGCTGATGATGGTTGGAGTGAGCTTTGAAATTGGTGTTGGTGCAGGCTGTTGGAGGAGCGAGCGCTGATTGGCTGGAAAACCGTAAGCCATTGGTGATTCAGCGGAGAAAAGCGTGATTACGACGGCGACAGAAAAGAAAGGGAGAATAGACGGTGAATAATTTGGTGTGTTGTTCCGCTAATTCTGTCAGCTATCACCAATCGTAAGCCACAGCGCTGGACTTTTGGCCACAGGCGGAGAGTTGCAGTTTCCAGGCGGTAACTCCGCTGGAGACTCCACTGTTTTTTGTCATAGCGCCTCTGGTACTGGAGTGGCTTATTCCATCTCGACGACTCCTTCCCTCCTGCTCCTTCGCCATGTCACGGTAATCAACCACCCCATACCAGAGGAGCTTGTTCAAACGGGACAAGACCCAGCAAATGGATGCCACCATCGTGTTGGACCAGCTGCCTGTGCTCTCCACAGGGTCTCCAGGAGCCATGTCCGCCGCCCCGCTCCCGACGGCCGAAGTGTCGGAACATCCAGCCGACGAGGGGATCAATGAGCAGCAGGCTCCCTCAGGGCAGACCGTGAAGGGCGACAAGGGGGCTAACAGTAAGCCGAAGAAGAAGCGAGTAATAACAGAGGCGAGGAAGGAACAGAACCGTATCGCTCAGAGAGCTTTTCGTAAGTCGTCCCGCTTGCCATTTGACGTTGCTCCATTTCATCCCTCCGTCCCTCGAGCTCAACTCATTTGACTGACACATCTGCTCAAGGCCAACGCCAGAAGGAACTGGGCCAGCGAGCCAAGGCCGAAGCTGGCGTGAAAAAGCACCGGGAGCTCTTACCGCGCGGAGCTGACACCGGCAAATCCATCACCAACCATGGATCGTGTCTCCCAAGTCCCTCGGCCTCCTCAGATGGGATACCCCTCGAGCCTATCACGTCCGCAGGATCGCAGGATATCCTTGCCCTGATCCCCTCGCCGCCTGATTTGACTTCACCGCTACACCGGCCATCTGAACCTGAGGGTCAGCTGGAGGAGGCGTATCATCAACTGGCCATGCCTGACCCTCAGGCGAACACGCAAGAGTTCTTTGAGACTACATTCTTCTCAGCCATTCTGAACAATGCCCTCTCACTCGGTTTCGACTTGGAAACCATCGCCGACTGTAGTATTGAATGCATGTCTCCTTTCTATCGTCCCACTACTCCGCAAGACGACCCGGTAGCTCTCTTGGCTTCCGCCATCTCAGATCTCGCCATTGAGCCGCCAGTCTACCTTCGGCCAACTCTTTTTCAGGTGCTTATACCGCATCATGCTAGTCTCGATCTTATCCCCCTGCCAAATTTGCGGGACAGAGCCATCATGCTCTCCGCAGCCATGCCGACCGTCTTCAATATTTGGGAGCTCAAAGTCGACATCTACGAACGCGGTGGGCTCGGCGTGTCCAAGGGGAATGGTCGAGGCTGGCGCGGCAATCAACCCTGGGACAGAGAGAGCTGGGTTGCCGCGCCTTGGTTCCTCCGCAAATGGAGCATGTGTCTCGAAGGTGAAAAGGAGCAATTATCAGCGCATTCAATTGGCCGCGTGGGCGAGATCACAGGGGATCACGTAGGAGAGTTCGTGATTTGAGCTGAGCAGATGCTTGTCTTGCGGCAGTCGCTGGGTCTGCCAGATGGTGCGCTCATGGATTAATTTCCAATGACGCAGGACGGGATCTGCTACCTCTTCTACCCGATTCCATCGGTGTGATCTTCCGACTGAGGACTACGGAATGAACGGCCGAGGCGTGCATCCATGCATGACAATCAATCCTTCGGAAGGTAAACACTTGGCCACTGGCTGATTTCGTCGAATCATACCACAAACACATGCCTCCTTCCCATCATTTGAGGGGTTTGAAGCGCCGACGGAGCATTCGACCCCTCATCGTCCGTCTTTGCTCGGTCTCACATCGACGTGGTTACATCACAGGGATGCGGTAAGGATACGAGATAAGATTGTCCTGGACGATGAATGCTGATTGACGCATTTCCCCGCATGCACACACCATTCAGATAACGTTGGCTCTTGATTGTTACATCTGATCACCGTCCAACACTACCTGGTCTGGAAGGTGATTAGCGAACCCAGGTGTCAAAAGAACTGCGGGGGAGTAAGATGCTGGTCGTCGCAGGGGTTTAGCACATCATGTGTTGGGTGCTTATTTGTGCGCCAGGGCTCTTGCCTTTATCAGTCGTCGTTGAGACATGGCCTCACATGGCCGTGCTCACATCTTGTAGCTCTTTATTTGTATCGCCTGGGGAGCTTGTTTCTTTTTTCTTCCCCCTCAACTCACCCCCTGAGGAACATCATCCAACATGGCCAAATCGGAGAAGACAGGCGCACACCCAGCGTCGGATATCGAGGCTGTTCAGCTTGATCGTGACAACATCACCAGTGAGAAAGTAGCGCCACGTCCTGGCGAATACGTGGAAAACCCGGCCAAATACAACCAAGAGACAGAGCACATCGGCACTCTAGAGCGCAGACTCAAGTCTCGTCATGTGCAATTCCTTGCCCTCTCTGGTGCTATTGGCACAGGCCTGTTTGTCGGCAGTGGCCAGGTCATCTCGCTGGCTGGCCCCGTCTCGGCCGTACTCTCGTACGCCATCACCGGGTTCAACCTCTTCTGCGTCATCAACAGCCTTGGCGAAATGGTTACTTGGCTGCCCCTCCCTGGCGCCGTCCCCATCTTTGCCACTCGATATGTCGACGAGGCTCTGGGCTTCACCCTTGGCTGGAATTACTGGTACCAGCTAGCCATTGGCGTGCCGCTCGAGTGTACCGTCTGTGCCGTCATCCTCGATTACTGGGACCACAGTCTCCCCAAAGCCGGGCTTCTCACCATCTTCTATGTAGCCATGGTTATCATAAATTGCTTCCCCGTGAACATCTATGGAGAAGCCGAGTTCGTCTTTGGCGCCATCAAGCTCACCACCATTGTTGGGCTCATATTACTCATGCTCATCATTACATGTGGCGGCACCCCCACTGGCGAGGTGATTGGCTTCAAGTATTGGAGGGACCCTGGCCCAATGAATGAATATCTCAAAGAAGGCCCTCTCGGCCGGTTCCTTGCCTTCTGGAAGGTCTTCATCCAAGCGACCTTCTCATATGGAGGTAGTGAAATGGTTGCCGTTGCTGCAGGAGAAACCGAGAATCCACGTCGCAACATTCCCAAGGCCGTACGCAGAGTGTTCTGGCGAATCCTATTGTTCTATGTTCTCGCCATGTTCCTCGTCTGCATGTGTGTGTCGTCCGAAGACCCGAAGCTGCTCAATGCCATTAGCAGCAACGCGCCCGGCGCCAACCAGAGTCCGTTTGTCATTGCTATTGACAACGCCAAGATCCAGACCCTGCCTGGCATCCTGAACGGCATAGTCCTCACTTCTGCCTGGTCTGCTGGCAATTCATTCTTTTATTCCTCCACTCGAGTGCTCTACTCAGCTGCTTTGGACGGTAAGGCGCCTGCCTTCCTGAGGTATGAGAAGTTTGGTGTACCGTATGGATGTGTCGCTATGACCTCTGCCTTGGGACTGTTGACCTATCTCAACGTCAACGAGCAGTCTAATGAAGTCTTCTTCTGGATTAGCAACATCTCTGCCGTCAGTACCTTGATTGTCTGGGCCGCCATCTCGTATACTTATGTCCGATTTTACCATGCACTGAAGTACAATGGGGTCGATCGCGATACTCTACCGTTCAAATCACCCCTGCAGCCATATCTCGCGTACTTTTCCATTGGCTTTTGCCTCCTCATTGCCTTCTTCAATGGTTTCGACTGCTTCTTCCCCGGGAAATTCAGCGCCAAGACATTTATTCCTCCATACATTGACATCCCGATTGTGCTTTGTTTGTTCTTTGGATACAAGTTCGTCAAGAAGACCAAGTTCGTCCCAGTAGAGGAGATGGATATTTGGTCCGGCAAGGCTGAGATTGACCGTCTGGAACCTCTGTGGCCTGTCGTGAAACCGCGGAACTTTTTGGAGCGCATCTGGTTCTGGATTGCATAGAGTGGCTATCGGGGGAACGGAGAGTTGGTATTATTGACTTGAATTATTATGCTGCAAGAGAAATGATGAGATTTCTAACTGATGATGACAAAAGAAAGTCCAAAATGCCTTCAAACAATGCACGCACAATAGAAACACTCTTACGCAATATCTTGTTTCCTTTTACGAATCCCTCCACTCTCCGTAGGTACTCCACTGTGATATCTGCCAGAGTACATCGCACGCTAGATTGGATCGATATAAAGCCCTCCAATGACGGACCTTTCGCGATTTCCCAAAGACTTGAAGGGGAACGCTTCACAGTCAACAATTTCGCTATGTTCCATCTCGGTCGGAGATGATGACAGCGTAGTGTCACCGACCTCAAACTCAAGCGAATCATTAAAGCTCTGTTTGTCGGATGATTCAGTATCGACCAACACCATCCGGGACTTGAGCATCTCTTGACGTAGTGAACTACTCCATCTGATTATGTCGTCTAAATGATCTACAATGTCATCGTATATCGGGTCGAGGATAGTCATGTCACGGTCCGATGCACTGGGACTGTCTGTTGATCCTCCCCAGAGGAGAGCGCTGCGGACCAGCCCTTCCGCCCGGTCAACGTATTCTGTTGAATTACCGCAGGTTAGCAATGTTCCGTTGATGCAGCAAAAGCAAAGAAGATAGTTCTGGCTGACTTACCTTTTGATTTTGAGAGACAGAAGTCTTTGTAGACGCTCCTCATGATATCGTTGAATTTCTGAACCTCTGGCAGAGTTTCGTATGCCATGATGACAGTCCTCTCAGGAGAACATAGCCTCCTCTCGGCGTCTTCATCCGTCAGCAAATTTCATATCACGAAAGAATCAGCAAAACGTCTCATCTCACCTGTGAATAAGTCTCCTCGGAATGCCCTCAGAATCTCTGCATCTGAGCATAAGTTCGGGATAAGCGCAACTAAGCTGGCAGCCATGGGCAGTCTCCAGCGAGGTTCGAACAGCTGCGCAATCTTAAGCGCGGTGCTGATCCCGCCGTCAACCTCCCTCCCCGCCACGGACACCCTCAAGCCCAGGCTCTTGCGAAGCCGAACCACCATCCGCGCGCAGGGGGGTTTCTCATCGCGGTTCCAGTCCTCGAACTCCTCCAGCTCAGGCAGCATCCTGTACAGGCCGCTGTTGATGACGTCCATCGCCGACACGACCTGGCACCTGTCCTTGATCTTCAGCGCGCCCTGGGAGAGGTACTCGCCGAAGTAGTAGCACCCGGACGATTTGCTCTGCGACTTGCCCAGCCGCAGGTTCTTGAGGTCCCGGAGCCCGATGTCGAACAGGCTGAAGGACCGGATCAGGTCGATGTCCCTCACGAAGCTCCTGTCCGGACACCCGGTCGTGTCTATGATGCAGAGCTTGATGTCCTCGAAGCTCGAGCCATCCCTCGTGCTGGCGTGCAGCTGGTACATGTACACGAGGGCGTACAGCAGCGAGCTGGTCCAGGACACGACGTTGCTGTCCCCGGCGTCCTGCCACCGGAGGTGCTTGTTCAGCATGTCCGCCACAATCTTGTTGTCGCCTCGGTCGAAGAGGTCGATCTTGCTGCCCGGGCCGCTCTGTCTAGAGTCGAGGGACTGGGCCCAGCCGCCGCCATCGGTCGCGGAGCCGGAAATGGGCGTGAAGACGCGGAAGAGGTAGCGGGGGATGTCGTGGAACTTCTGCCGGAAGCAGTCGTTCTCGTGCTTTGGCGAGAAGGGGAGGGATTCTGCGTCGTCGGTGATGTGGGCCATCTCGAGTTCCTGTGGGAGTCGCTTGGCTGCCATGGGGGTCGGTTTTGTGGGCAGGCTTGGGGGAGGAGTGTAGCTGTCGAAACACGAAGTTAAGCTAGAGTGTGACTTGGCCTGCCTCAGTCCTTAGAATCATCGAAATATCAATACTGCGAAAAAGGAGGAAGAAAGAATGAACGAAAAAAAAAAGAGAAAGGGGCTCAAGAATCTCAGTGGTTGTAGATAGACTCATCAGCACGGAGCCCATTCAAAGGAGTCATCCCAGTGCGGCTATGGAATGCGGAACTCATCGAAACGCGTAGATAGCGTCTGAAACAATCTCACCAACGATCTCCCGATGGCATGGATTATATTGTCCTGATTGTGTGGGACGCTTAAAGTAAACCACCACCTGGCGTTTGAGTCAGAGTGAAGGAGGAAGACGCGATGTCAAATTGCCACCGCTCTCTCACTCCATTAAGTAGACGGGGGTTGATTTACTAATAAACCACGACTATTATGGACATTTATTGACTGTCAAATGCCAAAATACTGGTTGGTGATGTAACAGGGGGTGTCTCGGTTTGACGCAACCCTCGAAAAGGGCAGCCAATAGAGGTCTGAACAACCCCTTAATGGAATGCCAAGAGACCCTTTGCTAAGACAAAAGCGAAGTTGAGTTGACGAGGGGTGCGAATAAGCCAAAGTAAGACATGGTATACACTTTGCTCCAATGCATCGATATCGACGACTTTTTCTTTTAAGAAATTCGTATATATAAATTATCAATGCTTAATTTTGATAGTACCCAAACGATCACTCCTTTAGATTTTCTTCTTTTTCTTTTCTCTTTTTATATTAGTCTTCATCTTTGTAACTTGACGCGGCAAGTTGATTTTTGAAAATCACTGTCAACTTGAAGTAGAATTTATTGCTTCTTCCTGCCCTTTGGCATTCTTACAAGCCAGTAGAGGAAAACAGCGGCCGCAATATTGAATGCAATAAAGACGAACCCAAGTCCAAAATCTCGCCAGCGATTATCGTAGGTGGAGTTAATTCGGTCCAGGAAGCTGTTTGTGGACGACATAGGACAGTATAGGCAGCTGTCAGTGTCGTCTGGGTTGACAATCCTGCCGCGAGCGGCAGCAGCGAAAACCTCCAAGTATTTCCCGCACGTTAGACCGTCTGGTGGATGAACTTTGACGAGCTCATTCGTTGCGCATTGGACATCCTGATTTGCCAGGCCGGTTGATAGGACCGAAGATACCCAATATGTGAAGGGGTTGACGCGGTACATGAAAATCCAGAATCTGGGCATCATCTCCGACGTTGCCATAACACCGCAGAAGAACAAACACATCATAAAGAGAATATTTGCTACATTTCCTCCTCCCTCAGCTGTATCAAGAGGTGCAATGCAAGCGTGGGCAAAGGTGCTTGTGAAGAGCAGGAACTGCCAAAAGAGCAACCACATTAACCCTCCACGCTCGACGACGGTGTCTGTCTTGGCCGCGTTGCGCTGGAAGCCAACTGGGTAGTACACACACACAAACATCAGAACGGAGGCGACTGTATTCCACGGAATCTCTGCCATCAGTTGGGAGACGATGAACACCATCCAACTGTAGGTCTTTGATGGCCTTTCGCGAACTTCGTATAGCGAGCGTTGAGTGACGAAGTACGGCATTTGCTGCTGTACGATCTGTCCAAAAACGCTCAGGATATTGAACAAGGCAAACATCTGATTCTGTAAACCCTGAATGCTCAGAGGTGCGTCGATCAGCACGAGTCCAATGAATAGGGAAATCAATGTGAGCAAGGCGAATTTGGACGAAATGTAACTTGGGGTCCGCCAGTACTGTTGAAAGACGCGATGTGAGACAATGAGAAGCTGCGGCCAGAGGGGAGATGCAAACTCCGAATCCGTGTCTGCCGCTCCGATGTTGTCCGGATGATTTACGGGGTTGGATCTCAAATGTTCCAACTCTGTTTGGACTTCATTATACTCGGGGCTGTCAAGCCAGGTCTGATGCCAGTCCACCTCGGTGGTCGCCCCTGGTGCTGCTCCAATCGCCTCGAGCATCCACTCAGCAGGGTTTTCGTCTTTCAAACACTTCGGAGCGCCGTGTCTCTCAAAGTAAGATGTCATCGTCTCGGAGCCTTTGCCGATCTCACCGAAGTAGACCGTTTTCCCGCCTTCAGCTAGAAACAGGAGACGATCGAATCGCTGGAAAAGCATGGCGGAAGGCTGGTGGATCGTGCATAGGACTGACTGACCAGCCTTTGAGAGCTTCTCTAAGAGATCTAGAATGGACCAAGAAGTTTGAGAATCCAGCCCGGAGGTGGGCTCATCGACGAAAAGCAGTAGTGGTGGCTTTGCGGCTAATTCGACCCCGATCGTGAGGCGTTTGCGTTGTTCAACGTTTAATCCTTCACCGAGAACGCCGACGACAGCATCGGCATACGCTTGCATGTCTAACAACTTGATCACTTCATCAACGTAGGCCAGTTTTTCAGCTCGGGGCGTGGTGTTCGGCTGGCGAAGCAACGCACTGAATTCCAGTGCTTCGCGAACCGTCGTTGTTTCAAGATGGAGATCTTGCTGTTGCACGTACCCAGTCTTTCGTTGGAAAGAAGCATCCCGGGCATGGCCGTCCACCAAAATCTCTCCTGAGATGACCCCCATCCCGACTCGATCCGCGAGGCAGTCAAGAAGAGTGGTTTTCCCGGCGCCTGACACCCCCATGAGGGCTGTCAGCGTACCTGGCTTAACCCAACCGTCAATTTTGTCCAAGATTCTTCTCGGTTCTCCCTTGATCTTGATATCGTAGCAGACCTTGCCCCAGTGGAAGACACTGGTTGAACCTTGAATCACGCCGTCTTCGGAGCCGCTGCTGGGAGCCATCTTCTCTATAACAGCCGAAGGTCCCTTCACTGAAGCTTCGATGTCGTTTCTAGCGCCGTGGTATTCTTGAGGGACGTGGCCTCTCCGGAATACGAGGACCTCGCCTTTGGATTTCTTCGCAGATATCCACTCAGTTGCGGCAAAATAGATGAGATGTAGGCCGATGACGAAGGCAATGAGAATTCCCACATTCCTCCACTTGTGTTCTGGCTGGTAGGAGTATTGGGTCATATAATAGTCGTCCCCGCTGACGGTAGCGACCCCAGGAGGAGTTCCTACTGTGGTACAGGCCATGTTCTCCAGTGCAACGTTTTCGTATCCGGGGATAGAAGGCATTGGAACGAAGGCAGAGCAGCTGAAGGTGCGCCCGGAGAATTCGTTGATCATCAGCGCTTCGTACCCATATGCAACTGGATCGAGGTAATTGATCCAGCGGCACCAACCAAGCATGTAGTCGACTGGAATAACGAATCCGGTAAAGACGACCATGGCCAACATGAGAATCGAGGCTGGAACCATGGCCTGGGATAATGTACGAGAAAGAGATGCACTATTGATAATCAGGAACTTGTTGCTCGCCCGGGGGTATTGAATGAAACTCACATGGATCGGAAAAGTCCAGACATAGCCATTACCATCAACAGGGATACGAACCAAAAGAAGAAGAATGCGCCTGGCTCGCGTCGCAGATTAGTCATGAAATAGATGGTTAAGTTGTAGAAGATACTATTGGTAATCTTATAGGGCAAATCGACCAAGACGGATGCAAAAGCTTCAGATGATGGGTGGTAGAAGCCGTACCGGTCATGTTTCTCAACAATTGGGCGTTGCGAATATTGGGTGAGAATCTCGATAGCGCTGGCAAAGGCATTGGCGAGGATGGCCATGAACAAGACTGCCGTTCTTCCATAGAAGGAGTTTGAATCCTGCTGCAAGTTGTAGAACAAGGACGAGACGATGAATCCGACGCATGTGTTGGCGATGAGGACAAAGATGGTTAGGGAAGGGTTTCCAACGAGTCGCTTCCAGCCTCTCCACAAGCACAGCTGGACTTGCTGGCCATACGTGAGCGTGTACGGTGACTTGAGGCGTTGCCCCTTCCCCTGGGATGCGTGCTTGTGCGCGCGAAATTCATCGCCGTGCGGCCCATCAAAAGCATACTCTCTCTTATAGGCCTCGATTTCCACTTGGAGATGGCGATAGTCTTCGCTATTCTTCCAGCATGCTGCGAACTCGTCTGGCGTTCGAGGAGTCTTCCCATCCCAGCCTTTACGAACAATACGTTCCGAGGGTGACGTCATGGAAGTCAAGAAGTCGGGCGTTGTTTGGCGATCGGGGCACTCGAAGCCGAGCTTAACAAAGTACTCTCTCGCCTTGACCGCCGATCCAAAGTAGATTTGTCTTCCTTCATAGAGGAGAAGAGTCTTATCGAAGAGGTCGTACGCACTTTGGGGTGACTGGTAGATCGAAACGGCGCACGTGTGCCCGAAGAGTTCAGATTGCAGCCGCAAAGTTCTGCAGAACTCAATCGCGTTGGCCGAGTCAAGACCGCGGGTTGAATTGTCCCAACATTGCAATGGCGCGTAGGACAGTGTAGCCTCCGCGATCGTCACTCTCTTGCGTTCGCCTCCGGAGACGCCCCTGATGTACTCGTTGCCCACTTGAGTGTTGAGGGTGTGTGTGATGCCGTACATGCCCATCACCACGTCACGATAATGGTCACAGTATTGGTTACGAGTCACGCCGGGTGGTATCTTACTCGGACACCGGGCTCGCGAAGCGAATGTGAGAGTATCGGCGACAGACAGCATAGGGAAGTGGACATCCACCTCGGCAGTATAGATGGCTTCTCCTTTGTGCTGAGTGTGCATCTCCTTGGCGGTTATTCCGTTATAATTCAAATAAGCTGCACTGTCCAGATATATTCCATTGTGTTCTCCAGCAATAGCCTTCAGGAAGGTCGTGCATCCAGCACCAGGCGGACCAAGGATAACAAGCATTTCGCCTGGCTTCACGACGCCGTCGCATCCACTGAGAATATCAATCCGCCGCTGCCCTTTATTCTGCATGAACGCCTTTCGAAAAAGATTGGGGATCTCTAGAAACATATTGCCCAGGTTCTTTTGATAATCGGTCGATGTTCCGTACCCAAAAACGTTCAAGTCCTGGAAGCAGAATCCCGTCTTACGGAAGCCGATGCCGTTATCTATGTTGTACCGAGCAAGAGTCTTGGCCCATGTCCTTGCGCTGAAGTTGTGGCCGGAAGGGTTCAATGGCGATTCCGGGTCATCATTGGCGAACAGGGCTTTAGGGTTATCGTGAACGTCGCCGACGGCAGAGTGCTGAGAGAATTGACGAGCGAGACCTTGTACTGTAGAGTGGCGACGCTCCATTTCGGATGAGGCGCTTTCATCCTGAAATTCGCTCTCTTCCGCCTCTGGAAGCATTTCCACCCGTGCTTGGTTGGTCGCCATATTAGGCGAATGACAGAAATGTCGGTCCAACGAAGGAGTAGGTTAAGGGAAGGAATCAAAACCTCAAAGAGTTGCGATTCAGATGAAACGGCTAGAGATCAAGGCTAATGTGTCGTTGTGCCTGGGTGGGAAGTGCGAGGCGTCAGCCCCTGAACACTCGTTTGACGTGCTCTGGAGTGAATTGAAATAAAGTAACAACAGAGTGCTAGGACACGTGGAGCATATTCTAATGTCAGGTAAGCGACTGGACACTGGAACAAGAATTCCGACAAGATGGAGGCACCAGTGGCTGAAATATTCTCCCTTCCGTCATATATGTCAATGTACGCACTCTTCAGCTTCCCGTACCCGAGGGCGACAGACCAGGCACTGGCAGATCAATTAAGAACCGTTTCTCGGGAAGGATAAAAACAAGAGTCCGACGAGTCTGGTCGCGTTGGAATGCGCAAAGGTACGCACCTGGCCGGAATTTGTCTAAGTCAATTCATTTCACGTGTTTGTCGCAGACGGAGGCTTCCAAGACCCCGAACCAATGCCTGCCTGACTTGAAATGATCGCCGGAAAGGGAGAGTAACATCATATGATTTCTGTCATATGATTCTCGGACTGTCTAGCTTTGGCAATTCTCATTTGAGCATGTAGCTGCAAGAATGGAGAAATCGCTGCAATGTAGATCTGCATCTCTGTGAACCACGGGGCCTGGGTAATTCATAGTTGCGCCAACTGAAACTATGTCTTACCTTTCCCAACGGAAAAGCTTTATCTACGATTTACTACCAGTTTGAGCCTGACTACGATCAACAACCCCATCCTCCAAACCACAATGTCATCATCTTCGATATCATGCATAACAAAACCGGGGAAGGAACAAGTCAAATCAGCATCTAGAGAAGGAAAGAAGGTCCTCGCTTGCGTGAGTTGCCAAAGGCGCAAGAAGAGATGCGATAGAAACAACCCCTGTTCGAACTGTGTTCTGGTAACCAAGTCCCGGCATAATCGTGATAAGAAAATGCTCATCAGACAAAACAGCTTGGAATCAATTGCACCGCAAGCCATCCAGCGCCACATCGAAAACGACGGAGGAAGAATCAAGAGATGGTTGAAAGACTCGAGAGGTGTGAGGAGCTATTGAAACAATTGGCGGAGGGGAGCAAGAATGGCTTGATGCTTGCGGGAGATCACTGTGACGAGCGAATTTCGTCTCTTGATTCGGCGATGATGGAGTTGCGAGAAACGCTAGAACCGCGAGAGGCAGATATCGACAGCTCGTCTAAGGAAGAATTCGACAACTCGCCCAAAGAAGAACTCGACAGAAAATCGCCGGGGCAGGCTACGGTTCCCTCCATAGATGACCTACAACTACGCCCTGAGTCCTGACAGCTCACAGAGTGGAGGATAAATTGTCACTGGAATATCCCAGGCAGAGATTCGAAGAGGCAGCATTACCTGTAAGGCGGAATAGCGAGGCGAAACACGATCAGAAACCGTTGAGAACTAGCTTCTTTAAAACCAGAACAACGGAAGAGTTGTGCACAAAAATGTTCGGGGAGTGCTGACTTCTCGGAGAAAGCCCTTGTCGCTCGCTCCCCGCAGCTCCTCCCCAAACAAGACCCCTGTTGATCACACCACCATCTCGATTCAGGTCACATTTTCGACCCGACAGCTTCATTCGTTTTACTGAAAGGGATGTGCTACGGGATCATTTTACGAAATCGGTCCGCCGGGAAAGTTTGCAGTCCGATGTGTAGGGGGAGTGTTGAGAATGCTTGCCTGTGTGTACAATCTATGCGAATGATGATTTGCAAGACGACATAGTCAACGAACTTTGCTTTTACATTGAGCGCATAATATAATAGGTTTTAAGCCATAGAACATAACCTTATTATAACCCCTTTGGCGAGTATCATTTAAAACGAGCATGTACGAACTCTGTAGCCGCAATTCCTAGTTACTATGTCGAAGTAAACATTGAGCACACGACTCGTAAGGGTAAAATAAATATTATTAGATTAAATGATTATTGTCATCGTTTCTGATGACAAAATATTAAGAGAATTCTAGTTGACCAAAGCGCATCGCCTTTTTGTTGTATTTTTTTCCATTTTTTTTTTCTTCATTGTCGCAGAACATGTTTCAAGGCCTGGTCACAATTGAGAACACTTCCTCCAAATGGGCCGCCACCAAGTCAGCGCTTGAGCTTCTGAGCTCTGCCAGCACTTTCTCGTCGCCTGTACCCTCGCTCTTATCGTTGACAAGGAAGATACCGCCCTTTGTCACGGGTGCCGTTTCCAAATCTGCGGGCTTCGCAGCCGACATGGAGGCTATGTCCTCTACCGTGTATCGGGCATTTGTGGCATGGAACAATGACCTTGCGCCCACATCTTCTACTCTAGAAGCTATAAAGGTGTTGATGAATGGGGCTATGATCTTCTGGAGGATGAAACCCGTGATGCCGCTGGATCCACGATATAGAAGCGGGGTGTTGGTGAGACCAGGGAAGGAGTGAACAAAGCTGATTTTCGGGTTCTCTTTGGCCCATCGTTCCAGTGTGAGGGTGAGCATGGAGGTGGAGTGCGCCGCAGCGCGGGGAAGAGAGTAGTTGCCGGGCTTGATGAGACCCAGATCATCAGTAACCATGGGGCCTTCCAAACCCCCTGCGGCGACATTGTTTACATGGGGATTTTCCGAGTTGTTTAACAGAGGGAGAAGTTGCTGGATAGCGCGAGCGCGGCCGTAGAATCTCGTAGTCATCGATGGTTCGAGACCTTCAACAGTGTCTATAAAAATTGTTAGCCTAGCCCTTGGGAATTAAATTGATGTCAATGAACGAACCTTTTCTTCCCTCAAATGAGATGAAGCCGACGGAGAGAAAGAGGAGATCGACCTTTGTTTCATGCTCCTTGACAAATTCCGTGGCAGCATCAACATCCCGCAGAAGCGAGACGTCCTTTTCGATGAAGTGAATGATAGCGGATTCGTCGGTTCGGTGGAGCTCTTGAAGAAGCGGCTCTGATTTCGCTGCGCTACGACCGACGATGTACACATGTGGTGATTTGCCTTTTGCCGCAGCGACAAATTGTTTCAGGGCAGCTTCTCCGATTCCAGATGATGCACCAATAAACACGGCTGTCATTCCTTGAGGAATCGAGGTGGGGAGTGCCGTCTCATTGGAGGCTCTGATTGTTTGGATGGAAACCATTGTGAATATGTGATTCGAAAACGGTGACTGATGATGGTGTGTGTGTAGTTGTTTGTTGAAGTAGAGCTTAAAAGGTGAGATGAGTTGAGTGTGGTTGATTGATGGAAAGCTAGATGGTGGCCACAGACGCAACAACCAACTATATACTAGTCGAGCCTCGAGGCATCCTGGCAGCTTGTCATTCTAATTGATGCTTCAATGAATCATCCCCGTAAGGCTGGTTATCAATCAAAGTGGAACCCCGGCGATTGCTAAGCCTGAAGCGACCAATCAGCAGCGGCAAAATGCTTATTCATAGATGCTCGGTCAAAGCAGAAAGACCGAACAGCCAATCAGCTGTCGACATCGCTTCTGTGGCGCTCCATTGTGGGCCGAAGCACATAATCATAATCACGGCATTTATCTCACAAATACGGAGCTAAAGAGTTTTCAACCATTCTCTTAATTCCGCTCAAGTTTGGTGACCTCAAATTTATGATAGTTCATTTCAGTAATTTTAGTAATAAGCAGGCGGGTTTGGTTAGTAACCCTTCACAAACAGGGTGTCCTAGGCACTGGGATCAAGTTTCGGTGATGGCATGCCAGCTTACCTACCCTATAGCCTATCGCTCCTCCTGAACGAATGTCGTTGATGTTCCGGCAATGCTTAGTACAAAATATTGATATGGGTCCTACATATGCGTATTTTACAATGGATGCTAATTATTTGAGTATGTTATGCGTCCTCGCGTTGTTTGTGAAGTTCCCTGGGCAGAGGCCCTGATACCGACATATAAGCCCAAGAATACCTAATCAGAGGGCTAGATCTATGCTTGCTAATGTCACTTAACTATATCAGCGAAAACCACCTGATATTGATTCTACGGGTAGAAAGTGTCTACCTAGTTATTCTAGGGTCTCATTTGAAGACCGTTCCCGTGGATAGGTCTCGGAATGTTCTGGAGGTGGCCCGGTAGTCGAACCTGCGCTCCGATTCCAGCAATTCAAGTCCGCTCTCCGAAACTCGTTTAAGCCTGGGATCATTGTCTATCAACTCCGATCTTTCTGTATTATAATACCGATACCATCCTGTTCGGCCGGGGAAGTTTGAGAAAAGCTGTACAACTCAAGTGGACGGCAACGGGCTGAGAAAGGCTTGGTTGTCTTTCAAAGTCAGAGCAAAGCATTCTCCGACTACGTAGAAGTTTTCGTTCCCCGGAACAGACCTCAGGACGATAGGGGAATCACAACCAAGGAAGCCGACAATCTGGTCACCTTTTTTTGTTCTAGGTGGTCCGAGTATCAACTCTTCCTTGGTCGTTATGATGATTGCCCGGCCTAAGAGTAAGCCAAGGGAAAACTCTTCGTAGAAGAAGAAAGTTTCCTCCTTAATGTTGGAAGGATCTGATGACAAATTGAATATTGAATAGCCACGTAGGTGGGCGCCTGTCCGTCACATGGGTGAAGTGGTAAACTCGCCGGCCAAGATGAAACGCACCGATATTATTGACGCGGAATTTGCGTTACCATGGTTGAAAGAGAGAGAGTCCCTGGATCTGACCGTCCTCAAAGGGAACGCGTTGCCTTGCGAGGCAGCACGATGCATGGCCAGACAGGAAAGGCCTACGGTAATTATTGACTCATACTTCCCAAAATTCGTGAGAATTTTATATTCTTTTGATGAGTTTATCTTATAATCTCAGAATTGATTGTCAAGACAATTACGATAAGCAAGGCGCAGTCCTTTCAATGGTGAGTGGTGTCTACTGCGTTACTACCTTGAAAGCTCGATGCATTCAATTATATTTCTTGGCTGGAGAAAGCTGTCGGATATCCCGGCACGTCCTTTGCCCTGGTTGTCTCCATCTATACAATCCCCTAATACCAATGGGGAAGTTTGCCGAATAGCCAAAAGCTCCAGATAAGGCAACACAGGATCGTCTGGCAAATATAATGTAGAGTACAGTACATAATAAAGTGAAATGGAGTAATCGCCTGGTTTCGGACCGTGATAATGCTCTTAGACTGAGACCTTACGCCGAGTTGAAGTCAAACCTGAGCCATACAAACCTCGGCGGTACTCCGCCGACCACTTTGGCAACGCTGACTCTTATTAAGTGAAATCACCATTCGGCGAGTGTTGATTGCTCATGAACACCGATACCGGGGACTTTCCTCAGATAGCTTCGGGAATACTGCGAGATTGCCGGTTGTAATCCACCCATCCTATCTGCTGGACCGTTCTACTTCCTCTCTTTTCTTTTCCCCAGATCATGGGCTGTGAACAAATCTGACCATCAAGATGCGTCCCAGCCAGCTCACCAAGGCTGAGAAGAGCCTGCACGATCAAATCAACATCCTACCAGGCCAACAGCTATTCGCGGCCTTTGGGACTCTTTCCGCTGCCCTATTCATTGCTTGCATTGACCAAAATGGTATTTCGGTCACGATTCCCACTATTTCTCGCGATCTCAGCGCGGAATCCACCATTTCCTGGGCTGGTACCGCGAGCTTGCTTGCCAACACCACCTTCCAAATGCTCTATGGGCGCCTCTCAGACATTCTTGGACGTAAAACAATTTTCATAGCCACAATCTTGATTCTTTCGGTTGCCGACCTCCTATGCGGCCTTAGTAAAAATGCGACCATGTTCTACGTTTTTAGAGGGATTGCTGGCATCGGGGGCGGTGGCATCACCAACCTGAGCATGATTATCGTCTCCGACATTGTGACGCTCGACCAGCGTGGGAAATACCAAGGCATCATCGGATCCATCGTTGGCTTTGCCAATGTTGTCGGACCTTTCATTGCCGCGCTTATTGTTCAAAGAGCTGTCTGGAGAGGCTTTTTCTGGATGCTCTCGCCTCTCTCGGTGTTGGCAGCAGTCTTGACCTATTTCTTCTTACCATCGAAACCACCGACTGCAACATTCAAAGCTAGTATAAGCAAGGTGGATTGGGCTGGTGCTCTCTTGATATCCGCAGGGGTCATCTTGCTTCTGATACCTATTTCAGGAGGTGAGCATTATTCTTGTTATTCGTTGGGATGACAACATTATGGCGCTTGCTAATAAATAGGCGGATCTTATTTCCAATGGTCTTCTCCGATGGTCATTAGCATGCTCGCCATTGGATCTGTCTCCCTTGTTGCTTTTGTTACTTGGGAGTGGAAGCTGGCGAAGCTTCCTCTCATGCCAGGCAAGTCCAGCCACTTCCCTTCGTGAAAGATCGGTTCTCACAAATGTCACAGTGGACATCTATAAGAACTATGCGGTCTCCGTGATGCTAATACAAAACTTTCTTCTTGGGGCCGTGTATCAATCATACCTATACTACGTACCGCTCTACTTACAAAACGCACACCAGTACTCAGTCATGACATCTGCGCTGTTATATATGCCCATGGTTATCACCCAATGTATTTCATCCATTGTCTCTGGGCAATACATCAGCAGATATAAGAGGTATGGAGAAGTCATTATGTTCGGCTTTGGGACGTGGACCCTGTAAGTGGTATCAGCAAGCTACCATCAAACGATCTGCCAGTTGCTCACCTTCATCAAATAGCGGTGCGGGACTTGCGTTGATATTAAAAAAGGACACGCACCCCGCAGCCATTGCGGCAATATTATCTGTTGTTGGCGTAGGGGTAGGCAGCGTCTTCCAGCCGACACTTATCGCCCTTCAAGCCAACTCACCGATTTCTCGTCGGGCAATCATAATTTCAAACCGCAATTTCTACCGCTGCGCTGGTGGTGCCTGCGGACTGACTGTATCAGCGGCGCTTCTCCAAGCTCGCCTTCGCGCAGCCCTACCGGCCGAATACAAGTATCTCGCAGCCTCAACGTACTCCGTGCCAGCTGCGGGAGAGAGTCAAGTCCCAGGTGTTTTGGACGCGTACATGGCCGCGAGTCACAGCGTCTTCATTTTGCAACTGCCGCTTATTGGCTTGTGCTTTCTAGGCACCGCATTGCTTAAGGATCGCGGTTTGGAGCCAGTAGAGGCTGATCAGCCAAATGAGCCCGTCATATCTCAAGGCTAGGACGGCGGTGAGAACCATGGTCGTTGACGGGAGATCCATTATAAACCGTGCAATGGAGTCTCTTCATGGATGTCTGTTAACATACTTTAAGCTGACAGGAACTGGAAGAACAAGAGTGTAGCTTTATGTTGCCTCTAACCCTGCAGCTAACGATGTGAATGTTTGGCTGGACAATCCCTGTCCACAGATACACTCCATGGTCAATTGGCAGAGCTGGCGGTAAGTGAACAAGGTGAAGGTGGTTTATTGAAGAAGAAAAGGATCTGGGCACATTGGCTTGAAAATCTCGTCTTGCTGGTCTTTAGACTTCTTAGATAGATATGAATGGTTTCTTTTGTCGTACATATATACGGCGTAGCGAATTTTTCAACACCTCCGCCTGCGCGCGTTTGTTGCACGGAATGAAACCGCATTTGTGTCGTATTTTTTAAAGACTACACTGTTAACGCAGTTAAGAATGCTATTATTATGTGCTACGATGTAGTTCTTTATACATAGACCTGATTTGCCTACAGGATTGATAATCACGATACTGAGTACTGAGGCACGGGCCATCGAGCCTGCTCACCTGTCGATCGTATGAGCAACAAAAAATGCAGAGGACTATGCTTTTATCTGCCGCTGGAATGAAATAATTATAAGATTCTCTTCCTTTGCGGTTTCAAATTCAACAAAATATTGGAGAATGCTTCACCCAATCTCAGAGCTCATAGTTGGATGTCGTAAACTCAACTACTGACGCGTGGTATTATGTGTCAGCTGTCTTAGAGATGTCGGACGAGAAATTAGAGAACATTTTGCTGTCTCTAAGTTGTAGGGACTTGGATAATAGGCGCTTCAATTACAAAGCATGACCAATTTTATGGTCATTTGCGACGAGCCTCATATTATCATGCAGCGTAACATCAAGACACCTTGGCTTTTTGGATGCGGTCTCATGCGATTCCACTTACCGCTTTGGAAATCTTGGCAATTTTCAAGATCATGTGGCGATGGGATTCCAGCGCAGGTTTAAACCCTCAGTCGTATGTGTGAAGGCTTGGCCATAAGCTAATGTAACTATAGAGAGATGTGGATGAGAGAGCTCAAGTACAAAGTAAAAAATAGCAATGAAAATGCCAGACCCGACATCTCAAAACAGTGAATAGTAACTATAGAGAGATGGGTATGCAAATGGCGACTTCTCCTCGGAACATGTACACCTTCGTTCAAGACTGTGTAGTCTGGTATGGGCTATTGTTCGTCAAGCGAGGAGTTGCCAGCTATTATGAATCCTGGTCAGTTAGGGAAAGACTACTAAGCGGAAGTTTGAACTCCGCTCGTTTAAAAGCATAAGTCCTGGGATGAGGGATGTTGTTCCAAAATTACCTTTTATGGTAAACATTACCCTGACGCGTAATAATCATCTGACCTGTTGAGCGGTGAGCATGGGGCTTTTGCCAAATATGTCCCAATAGCGTAGTAAGCCAGACATCTGAGCGACTGAAAAGGGTAACAGAAATGTCTTGCCGCCCCCATACCGTTACGGCCCCTTATTTCAGCGTATTGGCTTTTAAACTTTAGCGAGCTACCCATATAAAGAAGGGCTTCGGAGGAATTAAGAAGCAACTAGAAGATCTGTGATCCACGTTCACTCCTCTATTGATCTTGTCAGCCTTTGATTTTGTTCAACATGAAATATATCTCTTCCGTGCTTGCTTTTGCCGCCGCCCTGGCAGCCGCGGAGCCAGATACCTTTAAGTTTGCCAATTTGTTCATGAACGGCCCTGGAAACTTCACCAATCCTGCTGGGGATCGCGAAGGTGCTTACTTCACTCTGGATGAATGGACATCTCGAGACATAGCCTGCAATCCTGCATTTAAGACGATCCCAACTCATCGAGTTTGGGGCGACTGCCTGCTGTTCACCAGAGAACCAGGCGAGGGAACCGTCGGAACGCCTTATCCTTTGGACTTTTCGATTGATGAAATCATCGATGAGGCCAACATTCGCGTAACCCTATATCACCAAGAAGATGGGTGAGCTTGTGCCGTATTTTAAGTCCTTAAACTTTGAGATGATGCTGACGATTTCTAAAAGCCGGAAGGGGAGCGCAATCGTACCCCTGATCTGTAAAAGTTCATCAGGCACTTACCATTGTGACCAAGACTGGACCAACGAGCTCCTTATTACGATAAGCTAGAAGCATCCATCGATGAGAGAGCTAGTTATTCATTTAGTTTTGGAAATGTTGGCTACGTTATCCTACTAGTGGATCGCGAAGAGGTGTCATGCGGAAAGGGGCTCTAATGCCTGACAAATTGAAGTCCGTCCGACAGGGGCTCAACAAGTTGACTTAACGCTTGCTGGTTCTGTAGACTTGCTATGATAGCTACGGATATAAGAATTGGTCCTATACCGAGTTTCAATCTTATAAAATGACAGCTGGAGACATTTGGGTGACTAGTTCTACTTACTTAAGATCGGCGCGTCTCTTTGCTCACGACTTAGATATTGAACATCATTTGAGACATCAGGTGGGCGAAACCAGAAGCATTTCTCTCAATGTTCCCCGAAGCATCGGGGATCACCAACTCTAATGATGGTATATACTACCGTTCACAGTAAATGTATAATACCCAGAGTGGCTTTCAGAACGGTATGAACTTTCTCCAAATACAAGACTCTCAACTCTGGAGAGGAAGACTTGCCCAGTCTGCACGCCAATCCTTGGAATCTTGATTAAGGGGCCAGACCCGGCGAAATGATCTCATTGGGTTATAGTCTCTATGCGTTGGTTCGATTCCATGCGCTAATAGGTAGGCATCTCGACGTTCGTCGTCTTCTCTTCCTTTATGATCGCGCGCTTCCCTGGCTTTGAGACCCAGTTCCCTAACGCTGATGATGTTCTCATCATGTCGAGGAACAAGTTCGATAAGCCACGAGCGACTCAGGTTTGCAATAATGTCCATCATGCCACACCCCGACGTGGTATCACCAAACTGCCCCCCTCCTGTGGTCCAGATTTTAAGAGACTGCAGCTTTCTCCCCACTTTGTCCTGGCAGATTATCTCCCAGATTGACCGTGCCAGCCTTTCGTCCACGGCACAGTTGATGAAAGTTTCCCGTACATGGCCTTCCTTGAGCCATTCGCCAAGTACCTCACAGGGTCTGTCATCCTCTTCATCGAACACAGGCTGGTAGGTGGGATCTCGAATGACCCGCCAGTTGGAACAATCCAGGGTGAGGAACAGAGACCGCAGAAGATTGAATTGGGAGAAGGTTCTATACATGTCGGCTTCAAGCGCATCAGACTTTGTGCGTTTGACAGTGATAGCTAATTCCTCTAGTGCTGGACAGTGGGCTTGGAGTTGTAAAATCTGCTGCTTCGTGAATATCATTGGTATATCTCGTCGAAACCAACGATTGTCCGCCTGAAATGGACTTTCGTACGGGCGCAGATCCAGATTCTTAAGTGTTTGTCCATGCCCGGATAGAATTGCCTCCAAGATGTCAGGGTCCAGAGGGCCGGAGACTGAAAGTTCATGAAGAGGTCTGATTGCACCGAAAAATTCCACAGCTTGTCTGCTGTAATCAGGCTTCTGAACGTCGAAATCATCGCGATCCAGTCTGACGATAAGGGTCCTGAGTTGAGGGAATGAACAAGTCCGAGATATCCATTCCATCACGTCGCCAGATACCCCGACTGACTCAGCCCCAAAGCCTCCACCAAGAGTCAGGTGATGCAAGCAACGAAGGTCTGTCGACTTGCTCCAGCTTTGGAGATCCTCAGGCAATGAATTGCGTACTGAGCCTATGAGGGAAAGAGAGGTCAGAGATCCAACGGACGATCCTGGAATAAACCCTGGGAGACCGCGCCATGGTTCCGGTCGTCGGAACAATCTCGATGGTAGATATGCCCTGAAGTTGACGATAGTAACTTCCCTCAAATTAGGAGCAAGACCAGATACGAGATCCATCATGGCGGCCTGGTTGAAATCGTCATCTCCATCTGTATCTCGCTCAGTACATGCGAGTTTCACACTATATAGACACGGAGACGTCGCTAAGGCCATTTCATAAGGATAAGGAGTATCCCAGAATAGTGTTCTGAGTCGGAAGGTCCTGTGATATAGTTTGCAGTGAGGTTGGTGCTTGTGGAGAGCATCCAGAAGACTTGGTGGAAATTGATTCTGACAGTCGTAAAATAGATTGGCGAGGCGTGGCAGAAGCTTAATCAAACTAACAACCGGGGCCCATGCCATATCCTCTTCAGAAGCCTTTTGTATGACAGACTCATCATAGATCACATAGGCCCCGGATGGAATAGGCTCCTCCTCAGTTAGTACTTCACTGATACCTGTGGTTTTAAACCACCTCGTTACTGAGTCGATCGCATCTCTCGAATATTTTCCCTCTTTCCTTGATTCGGCATATTCGCCATTCAAACACAGGGAGCCTTTGAAGCTCAGGCATTTGACGTGGCGGGCGGACTCTGTGCGAGACAGAGCATCAACAATGCCATCAATGTCGCGCTTCAATGCCGCAGGATTACTAACTGTGATGTTGATTCGGTGAAAGATGAATGTGCTAGTAATGCAATGGCACGCCTTGCTTGCCAAACTGAATGCGTAAAGACTTGGCTGATGGGAGGTAAGATAACTGGTTATCTGGTTCAGTGTCTCTAGAGGCAGGTCTTGTAAGCTTATTCTGGCAGAATTCGGTGTCATGATTGATAAAACTTAATCCAAAGAGGGTTAGCAGGAGTGAGAGCAGGCTTTTTTGAACGATGGCGATGGAGAAGATCAGGAGTCTAGACTGCATGGGAGGTTTAATTTGATATGTCAGAGTAGGAATTACTAAGCTTATAAGTGGAGTCCTCCTACTATGAATGTATTATTTGTTTCTTTTTGCCATATGCAAGGGTGATATCCCAAGATCAGGCCACACACGTGACTATAAGCCACAGCTATTTAACACACCTCTCTTAAAAAACGAGCTACAGTCCATACCCGAACCTTCTCAACACTATAAAAACTTTCAAGATCACACATTAAGCCTAGGCACAGGCATGTACGATTTCTAATAATAGTTCATCTTTTATTATAAGCTCCTAGATCCATCAGACCGTCTTGAATATCCACCTTCGATCTGACAGAATGTGAAGGGAAATTCGTCGAGGATATCATATCGGGGACGACCGAGCTGCTGGTTGGACTGGAAGTAAAGTACGTTGCAGTCACATTGCAATGTTCCAACCGATCACTACCGTGTAGAGAGCCAGAAACTGCCCTTTAAGGAAGTCGATCCGAAGTAATACTGACGCGCCTGGCTATACTTAGACTGAGGTGATGTAATGGTCAGCCTAAGAAATATACCTAGATGTACTTATGTCAACCTAAGATCGATCCAATGTAATGATTGAAAGCTAGGTAGATAGATGAACTCAATTGACGCATTTCTTCACTTCCCTCCCATAGGTTCTGCAATGACCTTCACTTATTGTTGCTCGAATACTGGCATCCTAAGCCTTTGAGCCCCACTCTCTCATACTCACGAGTTCACAATTGTGTTTTCCGCCGGTATCGTTAGATTAACAAGGTAAGACTCCATGATGGCTTGAGCTTCGCCGCTGTTTCCATAGCTTGCATGGCCGTCGCCCTGCCTCGTCAGAAGGGTGGCGCTCGGCATCTGCGCGTAGAGGTTCTGAGCCCAGAGAGAGGAGGACTCCGGGTCGTGTTCGGCATTGACCATGAGTATGGGAGGGGCTTGACGCAGCGCCGTCTCGTTCAGCTTCTTTGGCAGATTCTTTGACTTGAAGGGCCTGCCGAAGTGTGATCGACGTTCCCGCCCATGACGATGGAGCGAATGCTTCCTGGGTAGGTGGCGGCGTATTGCGCAGCAATCTAGGTGCCATAGGATATCCCAAGCCAATTGAGCTTTCCGTCGCCCAGAGCCAGTCTGAGTGCTTCGGTATCGTGCACAACGCTCATTGTGTCAACATGCCTCACTAGGTCGCCAGACAGCTAGTCCAATGTTTTATTATTTAGTATTTAGAGTATTCTAGGCTTATTATCAAAGCTTAACTAAGTCTGTGAGTTTTTTTAACAATAGGACTTAAGCTTTAAATTCACAATATCAGTTTATCGTTTATTATCGACGGGTAGGGCCTCGTATATAAGTGTAGGGCAGGTCATGGAATGTGCAGAGAACACAACGAAGCTGGCTTAGTTCTTGAACGCAGCGTGTTTTACGCAGGCGGCAGGTATCGCACCGGCGTGACCTAGCAGACGGGGGTTATCTCCTTGCGCCCCCTGAATGGCTCGTACGGTGGCCGTCGGCGACCTGGGACATCCAATCTCTGTTTGTATCCTGACCGCTCCCCGTACAGGCAAGATCCGCAACCGCGAGCATAGCTGATAACCCTCAGTGGAAATGTACACCCGGATTCTTGCAGAAGATAAGAGGAGGTTCGGCGAAAACGGGCCCCGGCGGCGGTATCGGCTACCCCAGCCTTGATTACTTGGATTCATCATTAGCGAGAGCCAATGAATGGCTCGAATTAGCACTTATCGCGTCGTCGGCGAAACCAACGAGATGGCGCTGATAAGCACCCACTGCCGGCGGTCCTGGATATGATGGCCGCCGGCCCGGATGGTAGGGGAACTAGTATGGCTTCATCAAGTACTTTACTTTGCACATTGTAATCATATACTCTATCTATTCTTGTGATTTCACAAATACTTCAAGCCCTCTGGGTGGCTTGACAGCTGAGCCCCCTGAGCTACACAGCCCAGTGCCTAAATTCTTTTCTCTCCCTAGCCTATTATGATACTATGTCCAGGCTGCACAATTCCATAAACTAGAAATGGCTATGTCTCTTCCAACCAAAGATACCATAGCAATCGCCGTGGTTGGGGCTCACCTCAAAGGGTTCCCGCTAAACAAAGATCTCACTCGTCGCGGGGCAAGATTTACCACTGAGGCGATGACTTCACCGCGATATCGTCTATACGCGATTCAATCGACTTTGGGTCCCCTAAAACCTGGCCTGGAGCGCGTGTGTGAGGATTCAGAAGGTGCATCTATTGATCTAGAGATATGGGACCTGCCCACAACCGCTCTGGCGTCTTTTATGGATACTATTCCGTCCCCATTAGGGATTGGCAAAGTAGAACTAATGGATGGTTCGTGGGCCCATGGGTTCATCTGTGAGCCTATAGGCTTAGTGGATGCAGTAAATATAACTTCGTTTGGTGGTTGGAGGGCATACACCAAGTACCTCGGCGAGCAACAAGTCTAACAGTGTAGAAGCACCTGACCCCATCCTATATGCCATGAAAAGAGCCCACTGTATATTTCAGGCGGATGAGACGTTTTCTAGTACAAAAAGAGCTTATAATCAATAGAAATTGGATTCTTGTCCTCAAGAGATTCATCTTTCATAAAAACTTGACTGAGGTACTAACGGTATAATATCATTCTTCAAAGCTATTAAGTTAGTGTCAAGTCTTTTCCGATGAAATTTGGGTCAATAGCTTGACAATTATCCTATTTAATAAAGCTGGATTCACTAAATACTACAATTCACAGATGCGAGACACTTGCTTCCTCAGACCAGCACAGCAGCCAGCGGTTTACTCCTTGGAAATGAATGGCAGTTTTCATTTTAGTCTTAGTACTTGCAGTTCGTCGTCAAGCAGCTACTGCTTCTTATCCATCTTAGCTTCAATCGCTCTAGCAATATCTAATAACCTTCCATCCATACCTTTGCCACCAATCAGGCCCAGTCCAAACGGCAAGCCGGCATCCGTCCACCCAAAAGGAATGGATATGGCGCATAGGTCAAGCACATTGGCAAAATGAGTGAATGTACCCAACTGTGCATTTAAAACGAGTGGTTCGGCCTCCATTTCCTCTACGGTAGGGTGGCATCCAACAGTCGGAACCACTAACACGTCAAAGGCGTCCGACACGTCACGGAGGTGACCCATCCCAAATAGCCTTTCGGCCTTTCTTGTAGCTTCCCTCTGAAGAGCTTGGTCCTCGAATACCCTCCACGCAGGCTCATTCCTGTTGAAGACATCTTGAAAATGCGTCTTGATTGTTGGATGGAGTATTTCCATGTTCTGGCTGAGAAACTCATAGCCAATAGATGCAATTCTTTCCTGGACTAGTGTCCCTTTATAAAGAAGTTCAGTGGCCGTGTTGAACGGTTCGTAGGTCTCGTCGGATAAGCATGTACGCTTCTTAGCCGAAATGCTTTCCATCGCGGTCACGGCCACATCAAAACACCTGCGGTACTCTGGCAAAACCGACTCCAGAGCCGACTCAGGTGGAGTGCAGAAAGTGAAGTTACCGGAGACACCGTGGTAATTTGATAATGATAGCGGCAAGGTGTTGGGGTCTTTCGAAAAGGCATCATTATCATCTGGCTGGTCTAATATGTGCCAAACCTTCCGAGCGTCCTGGACAGTCTGGGCAAAGATAGAAACGGTGTCCAGGCTTCGGCAGGCTGGAACCACCCCTCGAGCTGAGATCGTGCCCTTGGTTGGCTTAAAGCCCACAATGCCGTTTAATGCGGCTGGCACACGCCCACTCCCAGCTGTGTCCGTACCAAGCGAAAAGGTTATTAACTTGGCTGCGACGGCGACCCCTGAACCGGATGAGGAGCCACCCGAAATCCGTCCATTCCCGTACACACTTCCAAGATTTCCATATGGTGATCGACAGCCGCTTAAGCCTGTAGCCAATTGATCCATGTTTGTTTTTCCAACCAGAATAGCGCCGGCAGCGATCAGGAGCGAAACTACTGGGGCCGACTCGGTTGGGACGTACTTGTACTCCTGGCAGGCAGCAGTAGTAGGGAGATGAGCAACATCTATGTTGTCCTTGACCGCAAAAGGGACGCCGTAGAGGAGAGGAAGCTTCTCAGCTGGCATGTCTGAATAAGTTTGCCTTAAAACTTCTGCATCTGCCATGATTTCCTCGTCACTTCGCAGTTGTATCCAAACATTGGGGTTGGTCTGTTCGTAATCTTTAATGCGGCTCAGGACACTCTGCATAACGTCCGATGGGTGAAATGCACGCCCTTTATACAGTTGTTGCAAGCTTGCCAAGTCCAGATTGATGTTTGAGATATCTGGTGGTGTTATTGGTGGCGTCGTAACATCAGCGATCAAGGCCGGCTCCAGAGCAACAAACTCTTCGCTTTCGGCTGTGAACCCAAATAGTCCATCATATGAAGAAATCATGTCCAATGAATTCTCGACAAAAGTTGGGTTAAACCCTCCTGTTCCATCCCTAAGAACGCAACACTCGAATCCACGGTCATTAGCCTCACGCGCTGTTGTAGTGACACAACATTCGGTAGTTACGCCACAAAGAATCATATGGGTAACCCCACGTGCCATAAGAACTCGGTGGAGGTTAGTGGCCCAAAAGGACCCCTTTCCAGGTTTGTCGATAACTGCCTCCTCGGGCAGGGGCTTCAACTCGTCTATGATGTCGTGGCCAAACTCGCCACGCACGAGTAGCCTTCCCATCGGGCCTTTTTCGCCAATTCCGATGCTGTGGTGGCCACTGGGAGCATTCATTTGTCTTTCTTGCTTGCTACAGCTCAAATCTGATAGGTCAGGCTTGTGTCCTTCCCGAGTATGGACAACATGGAGGCCGAGAGCTCGGGACGTATCAAGGACTTTCCTGATGACTGGAACAACATTCCTCACCG